TATTACGTTGACATATTTATTGCTCATTTGAGGGCAGACACTGACCGGTTTGGCTTTGTTCCTAAGCAGCACCACACAATTGGCAGAGCTAGAGCCACCGGTAAAAGGGCATCTGCTGCCCCAGTGAAGTTACTGTAAGCGTAGATACACAGTGTAGGCAGTGCACTTCCAGACCATGATGTGTTGGCCAGGTTGGTGACTGGATCAGATAGATGGGCCTGCAGCACAGCCCTGCTAGTTTTAACGAGCTGATAGGCAAATCCCTTCCTGGTTAAAGATTAACCACTCGCAAGAGCTTCCACCGCATTATCTCCCCGGGGCATACAGGAGCCAAGAGGTGTGTGTGTGTGTGTGTGTGTGTGTGTGTGTGTGTGTGTGTGTGTGTGTGTGTGTGTGTGTGTGTGTGTGTGTGTGTGTGTGTGTGTGTGTGTGTGTGTGTGTGTGTGTGTGTGTGTGTGTGTGTGTGTGTGTGTGTGTGTGTGTGTGTGTGTGGTGTGTGTGTGTGTGTGTGTGTGTGTGTGTGTGTGTGTGTGTGGGTGTGTGTGTGTGTGTGTGTGTGTGTGTGTGTGTGTGTGTGTGTGTGTGTGTGTGTGTGTGTGTGTGTGTGTGTGTGTGTGTGTGTGTGTGTGTGTGTGTGTGTGTGTGTGTGTGTGTGTGTGTGTGTGTGTGTGTGTGTTGCATTCCAACCAGCAAAAGGGTGGAACTGTGTGTTTGTTTGACTACGGGAGTTAGTGATCGGCTTTGCTCCCAGCGGGGTGTTAAAACTGTGTTTACTGTATGCCATTTAGCAGTCAATCTGCTGTGCGTGTGTTTGGGCGGGATCATGTTTGTGTGTGATGATTTGTTGGAATCTACATTCCTTTTCTTTCAGAGCTTTGTTTTGTTTTCCCTTAGGGCGTAACGGCATTCAAAGGGTTAATTGCATCAGGAAGCTTGGTGTGTAACAGACGCCTTTTCACCCTTAGGTTTTAGGCTTAACATTTTTTTTTTTTTTGCTACAGTGCCAAGAGATCTAATGAAATCACACCTCTTAAGACCTTTGCATTAAAGTGCTCAACATTAGAAGTGAATGTGCCCTTTGTACTCTCCTTATCCAGTGCTATAATTTAAAATCCATTTTCCTTTTGTGTATCACTGGATTAAAAGACTGACATACAGTATGTTGTTTCATCTTCAGGACTCTCTCTGATTAACTGGGAGACAATGCCATCTGCTGGATGTTTGAAGAATGGAGAGTTCTGAGACTGCCTAAAATACTGAGCACGTGTGTTGTAACTGAGTGATGTTAAGAGGTGGAGGCAGGCTCACTTATCTGGATATTCATAAGACATTACTCATCCTGGGTTGCTTAGATCATGCAAATGATCATTACTTACTCTGAAAAGACAGGCTCGACTTGCGTGGCTTGTGTTTTAGAAATTAAAGTGGAAACAGAGGGTAGAGACAGCTCTCTCTTGTTAGACTATGCACACCCACATAACCTTAATACTATCATTGATTTTCACTTAATCCTGTTGTGCATGTTTTTATCTTCAGCGCCTTGAAGTAGTGAGTGTTGTACCATGCTATGGCTAAGCTATCAGCTTTTAGCTGTCAGCATAGGGTTTTGTCGATTTCTTGTGAAGCTGGTCTTCTCTTTTTTTTTTTTGGCATTATTGCCTTTGGGTTGAAAGGAAATCAGGGCAGAGAATTTCAGGATGACATGGCAATAATTAGCACCGGCAACCCCATTATAAGATGTGATGCTGTGGTTGGCTCATACAAGCTTCTTCAAACAGCCAACATGAACACAGACAGCACAGAGATATTGGCATGCTGATCCTTGTGATGCTAGACAGGAAAGGGGAAGGGATGGAAGAGAAGGACAGAGTGTGGCAGTCCTGTGTTTCCTCTGGGGACTCCTGAGGGAAGCTTTGTCGAGAGGTGGCCTTTGGCACAATGCTGGCCACCGTAGCTTTACCCTAAAGATTATCTCTCTCCGTGCCATCGCTCTCTCTCACTCGCTGTTCTGAGAAAAGAAGCGAGTGACGGAAGGAGGAAATGACTAAAGAAACGACTCATTCACACCCCTGCATTGACAGCAGGTCGGACAGAGGGGAAGTCAAACCCACGCTTTTACCCTTTTCCTGAGTCCTCCACCCCCAGCTATTAAGCATGAGTATCCGCCACCCTGATAAGAACTCGTCATCATTTTGTGTGTGTGTACACTTTTAGTATTCTTTGTTACTTTAGAATAGTTACGTTTAATTAAAAAGATAAATTATTTCATTACTTTTTGAACAATTATACTTATAAAGCAAATTGAATTGGGGCATACACATTGTAACACAAAAGGCTTTCTCTCATGCTGTCTTGCTTGACACAAGCCAGAACATGCCCTTTTTCTTTCTCTTTTCTTTCTTCTCTCTTTCATTTTGTGTGTCATGTGTCTCAAGAAGGGCAGGGCGCCTCACATATTTAACCTACCCCCCCCCCCCATCCCATCCCATCCGTCTATATACGTGCACACATAGACAGTGCCTGTCGCTCCCCAGCCATGGGGTCAGATGTGATGACCGGCTGAGCACTCTCCCCTCCTCCTCCTCTTCAGCTCCTCTTCTCCTCCTCTCCCCTCCTCCCCCCCCCCCCCCCCCCCCCCCCCTCGCCTTGGCAGGGCTTGCATGCCTGTGTCTGTTATCTACAAATGGCTGAGGAATTATAGGTTGAGAGGGGAGGAGTGAGGGAGAGTGTGAGAAGGGAGGGAGGGAAGGAGGGTGGTGGGTGAGGTCATGTGACATCGCAGCAGCTGCTAGGCTAAGAATTTCTGTTTTCTCACTTAGAGGGAAAGAGAGAGAGGGAAAGAGAGAGAGAGAGGTAGAGCAAGGAGAGGAGAGATAGGCAGCGTGTGTGGTGTGTTGCTTTGTTAGATACGCTCTAAACGGTCTTTGTGAGCGGCAGCGTGCGAGAGACAGGAAGGCAGGCTGGGAGAGAGGGTGGACGGGAGAGGAGACGGATAGACGGAGAGGAGGGGAGAGCGGAGCAGGAAGATGGTGTGTGTCCTGTCGGTAGCTGCCGGTGTGTGCTGGGCTGGGCTCAACGTGAAGATGCAGCCATGGGGGATCCAGGCGGCTCCACTCCTTTGTGCAGTAAGGAGCTTAAGCCACGCTTTTAATCTATTGGGGTGGGGGGGGTCATGAACTGCTGCCAGACCTCCGGATATGTGCCTCTGTGTGTATTTATCAAGCTGTGTGTGTATCTGTCTCTTCTTTCACGGTGTTACTCGCTTGCATGTGTGTCTGTTTGTACTGTGGCTCTGTGTGTGGTTGTTACAGTATTTATATACAGTGTGCTCTGCCTCTATAGTATGTTAGTTTTGCAAAAAGTTCCGTTGTATTTCTTTGGCTCCCTCCTCTGACTTTATTCTGGTCTAGAGAGGGAGGGAGTAGCAGTGCTCTAGGTTCTTGACAAAGTCACGTTACTGGACTGGGCAGTTGGTGTGTGTGTGTGTTCGGTGTTTGCTTGCTTGTCTCTCAATGGCGCTGTGTGTGTTGTTCAGACAGTAGTCATTGTTGATCCCATTATTAATTGTGTGCTGGGTTCATTCCGAGTGCACTGGGTAACTGGGAGGTTACAGGCAGGACAACTCGAGAGGTGTTGGGAATGTTATTCACCCTCTCATGCCTGACTTGCCACTGTGTGTGTCCTCTCAAACAACACACACACACACACACAAAGTAGGGAACATGATCTTTTTATAGCCCTCTCAGCCTCTGGGGTAAACCCAGATATAACTCCTACTTATCTAATTTTGCTATTGATATACTGTAAGTAAGCAGCTCTTATTACAGTGAGTATGTCTTAGTCCTAGAACTTGTAATGGTAGCTGGAAGTTTTCTTTGAATGTTGATTCTGTGTGTATGTGTGTGTGAGAACGTGTGTGGGTGTGTGTCTTTTGATGTAAGAGTTCCCTCTGGCACACACAAACTATGCTAGTCTTAGTTTACACTCTCCTCTGAGCCACCTTTTAATGTGTGTGCATTTTGCCCAAGATGTAGGGCTATCACACACGGCTCTGGCATTTAGGGATTCCACTGACCGAGGGGCTGTCAACACGGTGTCACCTTTCAACACAAATACACACACACTCACATAAACACACACACACACTTGAGGGAAGGAAAGGGACAGCCGTCTCAATTCTCCTGACCAAGACTAGAAAGCAACATTGCACTTAAAAATCACCCTTTTTTATTTCGCTGTTGAGTCATGGATTTACAATGTACTATTAACTTTCCTTTTTTGAGTCCCAGAACCATTAACTCAAGAAATCCCAACACTCACTCAAATCCCATTGTTTACATTTAGAAATATCCTGCTGGCTGTTTTTAAAAACATCACAGTTTATTTCTTCTTAGTGTTGCACATGTTCTCTACCTTCCTAACAAGAGAAGGTTCCTAATATGACCTCCCTGGCAGCCTTAATTGGATTAAGTGCAAAAATATTGGGACACTTTTTCTTAAGTGGCAGTTGGGTTAGGGAGTCAATGTGTTATTTTAAACATTTTAACATGGAGGAAACGGGACAGGTTTACGCTGATCCATTAAGATCTACATTACTATTATGTACTGCCACTAATAATTAAAGTCACCCTGCTATGTCGGAGCATGCTCAGTAGGGTTGATTTGTAAACTCTGTGACCATGGACCTCTTGCAGACACACAGCCAGACTAAAGCTCTTTGAGCACGGGAAAGGGCAACTTGCCCTCCTAACCTCTCCCCTCTGACCCTAAGCCGTACAAGCAAAGCCCCTCTGCCTCAGCTGTCACAAACAGAAACCACACTCTCCTCACTGTCTCTGTGTCCAAGGAAACTGCTCTGAGCCACACTTGGTCTCTGCATATTTCTTGCAGTATATGCATTTATATGTAAGATTGGAGATAATTCTAATGAAGTGTTTTGCTGGTTCTTCGTGAATGCAGTATTGATAATAAATACTTAACACATCTCCTCCCTTTTGTAGGCATGAGCCATGAGCCAAAGTCACCATCGTTAGGAATGATCTCCACGGCGACCCGTACCACGGCGACGGTCAGCCCCCTCACCCCGTCGCCTCTCAACGGCTCCATCGTAGCCAATGGAAGCCCCGCCGCCCAGTCTGCACACTCTGGATTTGCTGCAGCCCTACGTAAACTGGCCAAACAGGCGGAAGAACCCCGAGGTAAAACCCTACAGCCTTTGACACGGATTTGACCTCCATGACCCTGTCAAGTTTAAGTCTATCGGACAACAGCATTTTGGCTGTATTATTAATTTAACTAAAGAAGGTCATCTCTGTTGTGGCTTTTACTGTGCAAACTCATTTGGTGATGGAATTGTTTTAAAGATTGATTGCAGCCGGTTTTAGAATAAATTCACAGGTTATGGTCGGCAGTATAGTTTTATCTTTTCTCAACAAGTTTAAGCCTCAATGACTGAAAGATATTTTGGAAATTGTAATAATATCAAACCATGACCCTTGTATGTATTGTTACATCCAGCACCTTTATTAGCAAACCTTATGGATCAGGTGTTGTGTACCTCATGTACAGTGAACGTGTGTGGTTGTTTATTTGTGTGGAAGAGGGTGGGTATGTAGGTGTGTGTGTGCGCACTGTGCCATGTCCGGTTTGTGTAGCTGAGTGCAGAACTGCTAATAGCTATGGGATGATATCCACACAGGATTGAATTAGTTGTCGTCTCTGGAGGTAGTGGGACAAAGAGGAGTCCCTCTCGCTGACCCACTTAATGTGCTCTGTGTGAGTGCATGAACGTCAATACGTGTATGATGGTGTGTTATAATCCCCCTTCATACATTTGTCCTTGTCCACACACACACACACACACACACACACACACACACACACACACACACACACACACACACACACACACACACACACACACACACACACACACACACACACACACACACACACACACACACACACACACACACACACACACACACACACACACACACACACACCAAATAATTCCCAACTCGCAGAGCATTATCCTGTGTTTGTATTTATGTGAAGTATGCATCAGGTGGCTGACTTGCTGGTAATTAACTTGTCAGTAATTCTGAATTACCCCTTAAGTCTGAAATAGGTGCTCAGAATTTGGTTTGTTGATTTCTCGTCTCTTCTTTTATTACCTGTATATAAGGCAAAACTGGCCTCTTATACACATTCAAATATAATTGATTAACCCAAGTGCCTAGAGTTTTAATAACTCATAAAAACAAAGCCACAACGTTGAATCTACACAGGAGAGCCTCAGTAGGAAGTTTATTAAGGGTGTGTGCATATATATGTGTGGCCCTGGACCCGGAGACGCCCAGCTACCCCAGCTGTCCACCTTTGCTTTGGCTCTTAAATCAGATGGTCCCCTCCTTTCTGGCTGTCCCTGGACACTTTGCTCCCCAGCCCACTGCAGCCTGGGACCCAGAACCCTGGAAATGATTTATTACCCAGAGAGAGGGAGAACTCGGCTCCTACCTCTCCTCACCTCCCTCTCAATCCTTCTCCCCTTCATCTCTCTTCACTCCTGCAACTCTTCATGCCAGCCCTATTACTTTATCAGTCCGTCTCTGCCAAATAGAAAAATCAATTTCCATCCATTTTTATCATGAACTATCCTTTTCTTATTGGAATTTTTCCATCTTATCTTTGTTGCTTATTCCCCTTTGTGTCAGTTGCAGCTGGAAAACACAGGGATTGATATTTTTAAATATCTATGTTTTTCAGTTTCCACCATGGTCCGTTTTAGCTGTTCTATTTTTTAACTGAAGGCAAAGAGTTCCTGTCTGTGACTTGGTCATACAAATAGACATAAGATCCCGTGTGATTTAAACTTTACCACCTTTTTATTAAAAGCACTAAAAAGCCCCTTTGTTGTTTTTGAGGCCTGATGACTCTGCTGGTGTAGGCAGTGATGTGTGGGTTAGTCAGACGTCAGGCATAAGGGGCAACTCTGCTGTGTGAGGAGCCCCTGCTACAGGGTGGGCAGAGGCATGCAGCCCCTGGAGCTCATGTCACTTCTCTGTCTGACGAGCCTGTATTTATAGGCAACACACACACACCCAAACACCCCCACACATGCAAACAGTTGTCTTTGCAACTGTGTAAGCCTTATGATTTCATAGCATGCTGCAGCCTGCTGTCCTTTCATTAGCTGCTTTGACTCAACCTCTCTTACTCTCTGTCACCCCCTGGTTTATGCTTCTACATGAGTAGTGCCGTATATATGAGGTGCTATGACTCAGTGTCCTCAGGCCTGGAGGAATTAGTTAGGTTTGAGTCCTAGTATCACTGCCACCGGCGGCTGAACTGATTTAAGACCCTGAGGACGGCTGCTGTTTATACACACACCCTTAAGCATACACACACATTGTCACTTGTCTGCGGCGAGTATAATGAATAGCTGCGATGAAGAGGAGAGGTGATGGATAATGAGTATCAGAGCAGCGTAAAGAATGTACACTTGCATCAACACACAATGGCACTCGCATGTGTGCGCAAACACACAACACAGATAACACACCGCCTCCAAAAGGCAGGCCTGCTGATATCTGATTAATTAGGCAGACATGGGTTCAATCCTCTCAGTTGTTTCTTCTTAGACACATACACAACACAAGAATGTCATGACTGTGTTCATACCAAGTGTAGTGCGCTGCCTGGAGAGAGGATGAACAGAGGGAGAATAAAGGTGTACAAGATAGATGGACTGACTTGGCAGCAAAAAAGAGGAACTGAAAATAATTAGTGGATTTGTGAAAACCTGTGGTGTTTGTCAGACTGTGAGTATCGTTACATGTACGTGTGTGCATGTGTGTGGCCGGAGGCTCCCCTTTTTACTGGGAGCCCAGAGCATGCTGGGACATCGGGGCAGTGTGTCTCTGACCTCTCCATCTGGAGCCTGCCTGGGGCCTCGCTGTGCTGCGTGTGTGTGTGTGTGTGTGTGTGTGTGTGTGTGTGTGTGTGTGTGTGTGTGTGTGTGTGTGCTGTGTGTGTGTGTGTGTGTGTGTGTGTGTGTGTGTGTGTGTGTGTGTGTGTGTGTGTGTGTGTGTGTGTGTGTGTGTGTGTGTGTGTGTGTGTGTGGGTGTGTGTGTGTGTGTGTGTGTGTGTGTGTGTGTGTGTGTGTGTGTGTGTGTGTGTTGTGTGTGTGTGTGTGTGTGTGTGTGTGTGTGTGTGTGTGTGTGTGTGTGTGTGTGTGTGTAAGGGTGTCTGTGTGTGTAAGGGTGTCTGTGTGTGTGTTTCTTGAAGGCAAAACCCTTCAGGCTGTGACTGTCCCTGAAACACTCACAAACAAGCTCATTTGTGTTTCCTCTTTCACTCGGTTTCTCTCCTCCATACACAGCAACCTCATGCCTCACATAGCTCTGTTTGGAAGCAGCATTTAAGCCTGATGTACAGTTTGTACAGTCAGCTAAAGGCACAGAGGATTGCTCCTCTTATTTCCATCCGCCATCTTGTACCGTCTTCCTTTCCCTCACTGGCACAGCAACACACACAGTGTGTCTCCCCTCCCCCCACTCAGTGATGCAGATTACAGGCTTTGTGTTGCGTTGTCAGTGCATGGCCAAGACTGTAGTAGCAGGTGTGTGTTGTGATTGTGTGCATCAGTGGTTATTGTGTGTCTGTAAGTGTGTGGATGTTTGTGTGTGTGTTAGAGTGCACGTGTTGAGGCTTGTGCTGCTGGTGGGGTGGCATATGGATGCAGGGTTGGCTGGGCACTGCTATGCACACCAGGTGTGAAATGGACTGTTTAATTAAGTGCTGATGTTGTTGTAATGCATGCTGGTAGGGAGGCATTTGGCGGAGGGGGTGTAGGGTTTGGTGTATTGGTGGGGTGGAGGAGAGCCCCTTCTGCCTGGCAGGGCGAGGGATGGCTATGCTCGGATATTTTGGCAGAGGTGGCAGTGGGGGTGGCAGAAGAATGGTAGGGGCCATTTGGCCACACCAAAACATTTCTGTGTGGCGTTGTCTTCCATCAAGGCTTAGTGATCCTGTGGGAGTCGCTGCTGAAGAGCTGCGGTGGCTTTTTGATTGGGTCAGTGGCTGAACTAAAAGGTGCCGTCTATGCAGGAACACTTGGCCACAGCCTCTGACCACAGCTTGGTTTGTTTGTTTTTGCTGCTGTTGGTTGTATCTTTTGTGTGTGCGCATGTGTGGCTCAGCTTGAGCGGTCAAGTGTGGAGGCAGTCTGGGAGAGTGGGACTGGTAATAGAGGAGGCGATAGAGAAAGGAGCTTCACATTAATCACACACAGCTTGGGACTAAGGCAGCGCTTGCTTTCTTTTCTCCTTTTTTCCTAGTTCTTTCCTTCTGTCCCTTTTCTCTCTTTCTATGCGCCCCCACCTTCCCAACCCCATCACCACACACAGACACACACAAACCCCATCACCACACACACACACCCCTACACACCAAGAAAGTGACAATCAGTACATCTAATGAAGTGCAGGTTGGGAGCTGATGAGCCTATTTTAGACTCTGGGGACGCAGGCTTTGCTTCACTCCTCCTCTTGCTCCCTACAGAGGCCACCATCTATGGCCATCTTCTCTCTGTCTATATGGAAAGGGAGGCGCATATTGCAGAAATGACACCAGCTTGGCGCCAATCACATAGCTCATATGATTTTTTTTTACTATCAGATGGCACTTTCATGTGAGGGAAGGATGAAAAAAAAAAAAAGGGGATTTGTATGGAAATTGGAGCAGGGGGGTTGAAAATGGACAAGAGAAAATCTTGGAGGAGGGATGGAGGCTTGATGAAGGAAAGAGGCTTATAGATTCACATGACTTTATGTGGTTAAACCGGAAAATAAAGTGAAACATGCATAGATGCACACATGTAACAACTCTCTCAGACATATCCCATGAGGCCTTTACTGGCTGTAGTGTATGTGTTTGTGAAAATTGCACGCTGTGTCTGACACGGGTCTGCGCCTGGTTGGCTGGCACTGTGTTTGAAGAACAGAAGGAAAAGGAATCAGTGTGTATGAAGAAATGGTAGGTGGGTTGTGGTTGTGTGGGGAGGAGAAGGAGGGAATGATAGAGGAGTAATAGCTGTTTGTGGTTTTTTTATACGTGGCGAGGTAGGGCGCCTAGACGTGAACACAGATTCTGCACACTCGAGAAGAGAATAAAGCCAGTGGTAGACGGCCCTTGTCTCTTTTATTTCCTTTTCCCCTCACCTGCTTCTCTTCCTGCTCTTAATTATTTAGTCTGCCCTGCCTCTGCTCCAGTCTGCTTTGCCTCTACATGGAAAAGGAGATGGGAAGCGAGGGGGGTGAGAGAAATAGATGGAGTAGAGGTCTGTTGCTTAGCAGTCCTCTCCTCTCTGCTTCTTCCCTCCCTCCAGCCTTATCCCACCCCATCCTTGTGCATGCATGTTGTGAGTGTGTGTGTCTGTGTGTGGTGAGTGAATAGGCTGTGACACTAGAGCTGTATTAAGTGTAGCTCCATTCCCCAGGCTGAGTGGGCTGCTATTGATTGGCCTAGTCTTGCACGGGAGAGTAATGGCTCTCCGAGGTGAGGGGGGGAGGATTAGGCCACTAATTGCCATTGTGCAGACAAGATATGCCTCCCCCCCTCATGTCCACCACCCTGTCCCCGCCACCCACTCACCCATCTCCACCCCTTATCTCTCTGCTTTCCTCTTGTCTTCTTCTCTGCCTCACCTTGCACCTCTTTTGCACTCTCACTAGCTGTTTCTTTTCTCAAATCACTCCTATCATTTTTCATTTTAATGTCTCACATCACACGTTTCATCACCACCTTATCTTTACATTTTTTTCTTCTTTCTGCCCCCCCAACTCCCCCCCTCCCTCCCTATGCCTGTTACCACCACTCGTACATAGATTTTCAAATGTTTTCTACACCGTCACCTCACTGCCATTATTGATTCTTTGCATTATTTAGTGGTATTAGTAAGAATGAGGTGTTTAAAATCTGTCAATATCCTGACGGCACCTATCATAAGCTGACGCTGTCTGTTAGGTTATGTTGCCCCGGAAACCAAGGCAGGGAAGATATGGCAGTTGGGTAAGAGAGCTGTGGTTGTTATTGTGATGGTGATAATTGGAGAGGAAGTACACTTGAAACTGGCCCCAGGTTTCAGCTCCTGTGGCTGCACGTGAGCCTGTTTATGTACATGCACACACATAAATGCTCGTCTCCCGCTGCCCTTGCAGCAGCACCGAAGTGTGTGCTCCATTGAGAGGGTTGTGACCCAGTTTGACTGTAATGCTGCGTTCACTCTGAGCGGAGGAAACCTACAGCACACTGTACTGTCAGGAGAAGGGGCAAGGCTAAGTGTGGAAGGGAGGATTGAAAAGAAAAAGTAGAGAAACACTGGTTAAAACACAGGAAAATGAAGGAAGACTTTAAGAGTAATATGAAAAAACACAGTAACAAAGAGACAGTGGACACAGACGAGAAAAACAGAAGGTGTTGACTTTATGGGGAAGATAAAGATGCATGGTTGGAAAGATGAAATCGTAGAGATACACGTATGTGAGCATATCATATGAGAGAGAAAGCGAGCTGTGTGGAAAGCGAGGCATGTGACCAGACCGTGACCCTGCGCTACAGGGTTTCCCTGGAGGGCTTTGTTAATGTGGCACAGCTACAGAGAAGTGTGTGTGTGTGTGTGTGTGTGTGTGTGTGTGTGTGTGTGTGTGTGTGTGTGTGTGTGTGTGTGTGTGTGTGTGTGTGTGTGTGTGTGTGTGTGTGTGTGTGTGTGTGTGTGTGTGTGTGTGTGTGTGTGTGTGTGTGTGTGTGTGTGTGTGTGTGTGTGTGTGTGTGTGTGTGTGTGTGTGTGTGTGTGTGTGTGTGTGTGTGTGTGTGTGTGTGTGTGTGTGTGTGTGTGTGTGTGTGTGTGTGTGTGTGTGTGTGTGTGTGTGTGTGTGTGTGTGTGTGTGTGTGTGTGTGTGTGTGTGTGTGTGTGTGTGTGTGTGTGTGTGTGTGTGTGTGTGTGTGTGTGTGTGTGTGTGTGTGTGTGTGTGTGTGTGTGTGTGTGTGTGTGTGTGTGGTAATTCTGACTAGTGGAGAAGTGGGAGGGTTGTTACATTTGCCTTTAAAATGATTGAGGCGCCGTTTACACGAGGAGAAAACTGCTTGTATCTGCATAGTTTCGCGTGCGTATAGCCCTATTATTTACACGAGGCCGATAGAAACTGACCCCACAAACAATAACGGGTCCCAAGGTGGATAGATTTGCAAACGAAACGCTCTGGGGGGTCAACCGAGTCCGTGTAATCACCTCTATACGAATATTTCCTGAAAAAATAACGATAGCCCCCGCCTCTCCCCAGCTCTCCTGCTCCTGCGAGCAACTATCAAAAATAGCTGTGTTAATTAAACGCACAAGGGGTTCTTGAATGAAATAATATTATAAAAGGCAAACCAGAATTGTTAACGCCCAATATACTCCTTAAACAAAATAAACAGAGTCAGATTTCATGCATTGATCCATTATATTGACAAAGGAGGATCTCACCCGGTGTTTGTAGAGAATATCTCTCTCTTTCTGAGCCGTCCTCTCCACGGAGACATGCTTCTTGGTCGGGATGCAATATCCACAGATTCGGTTTCTTTCAGTTTCAGTTTCGGGGCTTAAACAGAAGGGTAGCCATGGCAACATTGCAGCGGGGCTGCTCGGTTGCTCTTCTTCGCGGCTTTTGGTGTATTTTGGCGGAAGTTACAGCGCCACTTACAGTCCCAGCATATGTACTACAGCGTTTCCAGCGGCCTCGTTTGAACAGACACGTTAAATGAAACAAATGCATGTGAACGGAAGACTTTTTTGAATACGCATACTGTGCATAAACGCAAACGGTCCCGTGTGAGCGGGGCCTAAAGCAAAACCTTTGAGCTGTTCTTGATTCCACTTGTTAACTTTACTCATGCTTTTTCCCTCTTTCTTTTTCCAGCTGCATCCTCCATCAGCAGTGAGTCCTCTCCAGTGTCCTCCCCAGCCACCAACCACAGCTCTCCAGTCAGTACACCCAAGAGGGGTCCCCTTGGTCAAGGGCCTGTCCTGGTCGCCCCCGCCGGCCACAACGTGCCAAACACTCCGCCTGTAGTCACCATTGCTCCAACAAAGACTAGCAACGGCCTCTGGAGGAGCGAGGGACGCCAGGTAACGGACTACATTCAAACGCCACACTGACCTTCAGCCTGCTCTTACTTCCCTTTTTTGTGTTCTCTCTCACTCTTTCTGAAGTCTTACATGTGTGAGGTATTTTCTTTCTTTGTAGTTTCCTTAAAGCACCAAAGATTGTTTTTATTTTTTTAGCTTGTTTGCCAGCATAAGCATGAACACAAACAAGCTCTGTAGGGAATAGTGGATTTTGCAGATGGCCTCTAACCCCTAGTGGCAGTACATATTTGACATATGCACATGTGACATAGCTTGCAGGTCTATGAATGTCTGCTTCCCTCAGAACCCCCTCACCACGGTGTCATTCACCCCCCCCCCATTGCTCCATGAGTTAAACAATGCCAGCTGCCACTGGGACATCGAGGTGACAGCATCAACGGCAGCTAACATCTGTGGCCCTCCAGCCCCCCTCCCACTTAGCCCTCTTGCCCTTGGCCCAGCCCTTCCCGAAACCCCAGCCTTTAGCCTACTAAGCCCCCCTGTCCTCACCTCCAGCCTGACCCTCTTCACTCGAGCAGTCAAGTGCATCCTTCGCCTCGTCACCCTGACACCCGGGAAGTGTTACGTTAGTGGGGGGGAGAGAGAACCGGGGAGAGAGAGGGAGAGCTGCTTGCTTTGATAAGGAGTGGATTATGGATTATGGCCTCGCTTTAAGCCTTCTTATCTCGGCTCAGGGCTAATTTTCGAGGCCAAGCGCACAGTTACGAACAGCACTCGGCAACATCCGGAAACCTCTGAGACACTTTGACAGTTCCCTGGAGAAAAAGAGAAGGGGGATAGCAAAGGGTGAGAGAGGAGGTCATCCAGCCAGCAATGTGTGGTAGCATTCAGGCTATTGTTTTCTGCAGTGGACAACCCCTCTGACCCCATCCCTTGTAGCGTCAGCTTTTACGAAAATGACCCCTTCCACAGTTCAAGGGTCAACCAGAGCTAGAAGGGGCTAGAGAGACACGGGAGCCAGTGATTTCATCCTTTTTGCCATTCCTACAGCATAGCAAGTTTTTAAGCACACAGAGAGAAATAAATGGACACAAGCACTCTCCGTGCATGCATCGGGTGGTTTTGCACAGTGGTTGTGTGTTTGTGTGTCTAAGAGGTCAAGCTCAAATGGAAAAGGTCGCTACTGGGTGTGTGGTGCCTCTAGCAGCGTGGGGGCCACCGAACCAAAGAATGAGGAGGTTAAGGGAGGTTATGTGGACATGAGGTTGGGATGAGGGGAAGAGGTCAGGAGGGGCAGCAGCGGGGATGCGTCACAAAAGCTGGCGTCATCTCCCCTCTATCTGCGGCGCCGCTTCAGCAAGCACATTTTACTCACAAAGAGCCAGGGGGCTGTAAAGGACACACACATACACACCATCAAAATGTCCCTCTTTAACAAATATGATACTGTCTGGAGCTTTGCTTAAAACGGATTAGGAAGGATGCATACAAAGATGATGCTTAGTTTCTCAGGTACTTTGACTTTTTCCCTTTGACCTTTCGCTTTGTTCTTGTTTACGTCTAATATTATCATTCAAGTCATATGCCAAGTTATTTATTTTGGGCAAAATACCTTATTGCCATTCCCAGACCAACCTGTGTTTTTCAAAGCTACAGAAATGGCAGTGAGTTGAAAAAGGGACACAAAGCAGAAATTAAGATTTCAAGACAAACGGAAAGTCTGATAGAAGTTGGAGAAATACAGAGAAAATATTGGATACAGAGGCAGGACTCTGTTTACTTGATCCCCTGTTAAGCGTCCAAGAAAAGCTTGTGTGTAGTACATTTGCATGTGTCCTCCTTTCTTATGTGTTGGAAGGGTTGATTGGTGTCTCTCTGGCTGATGTACAAGTCTGTCTTTCAGAGGAGGGGGGCTGATGGGCAAGGCAGTGAAGGAGGGAGGGCTTGGTGCGTTGGCATTTTGCTTTAATGACTGCAGGAGTCTGCTCCCGCTGCTGCCTGTAATTGCTTTTTAATTGGCAATTTGGATTCATGGCTCCATCTGAGAGGCGTAAACGAGCGCTCTACAATGCGCAGGGTCTCCCACCCTCAGTGGGGGTTACAGGGGCCTGGCTCACACAGAGGAAGATGGCTGTTAATGGATATGTCTTTGAGTCTGAGTGCTTGTATTTGTGCTCTGTACTTTGAATATGGCATGATGCTGGTGAATAGTGTGTGTTTATATAGAAGGCTGTTTTTTGGCAGGTGGTGTAAGGTCAAAATGGGATGGTTTGGTTGGACGTGTAGGTTCCTGAGTGACTAAGGCGCCTCTCTAATGGGGATGGAAGGTTCTATCTTTGTGGTGTATGTGCTTTTCAAAGTGCTGACCTGTAACACCCACACCTTTTTCATATGTTTCCACTAGCTTGAATCCACACACACACACACAAGCTCATGCACAGACACACAAAGGAACAAAGAATAGCAGCATGGCAGCCATGTACACACTCTGATTTACAAACCGGTTTATACATGACATGATTTTATTAAAGGTTTTTTGTTTTCAATGACATTATAATAGAAGAAGCCAGCCATTGTGAAGTTTCAGCAGGCTTTGTTGTTTTACACAGGGATCGTTTTTCCATCCTCTTATGATGGGATTCCTGTGAAATTGGTCAGAAAGGAACAGTTGATTCAATTTGAGTGGTAATTTGTGTCTGGCAATTGCACAAATGGACAGTTACTGAGTCATGGCCATGATTATGGAACCATGCCCCTGTCACACGCCAATGTGAGTGATGCAGGATATTAAACACAGGTTCAACCCACATATGATTCACACCAACTTCTGGCCACCATAAAACCCAAGATATCAACAACACATATAATTAGATTTTAAACGGGCTGTGCATGATTTGATTTGGAAAGAAGTTTCTCGTGTTGTTTATGCCATCAAAGTACAATGGAGCGATATTTGGATTGAATATAACATTTATTCTCTTATTTGGTTCTTTTCAGCTTGATTAGGGCTTAAATTGTTGCACAAATTACGGCAAAGGTGTAAATTGGGCTCTCTCCTCACACATAATACAACAAACTGTAGCATCTGTGATGTTAGTCAAGCAACGACCGCTTTGCTAAACACTGATCACTTCGTTAGCAAAGGTTTCATCATTGTGATTATAGCCATTTATTTACTGACAGTGTGACAAAAAGCAGCTCATCCTGTTTCTACAGGCATATCACTGACAAGTAATACATACTATATCTACTCTGTAATAAGTCAGGAAGTGTTAGTTAACAAATCTTAACTTCCATACAGCCACCAATCTGCTGTTGTGTAGTGTTGGGCTTCAAGGCAGATAACGAAAAAAAGACACTTTGTGGAAGAGAAGGAGCAAACGGAGCTGGGCTTCTGCAACTCTCCCACCACAGTCTGATATTGACTTCTTTTGACATGTATGAACCTCTTTTTCCAGTTGGCTGCTGATTGGATGGGAGCGTCCACCTTCTCCCTGTGCTCATAAAGCTTTGAAAGGATGGAAGTGGTGCAGGGGATTTACGGGGACAAGTGAAGTGAAGCGCAACAAACAACAAGAAGAAAACAGTAGCATTACACTGCTGCAACGTGGGGGCAGTCTAAGAAACAAAGGGGGGTTTGGGGAGTCTAAACATAAGGGGCGTTTAAGATTGGATGTTAGTGCATCAGTGTCAGTCGGGTTCAGTGGCTGCGGAACACGACGTGGAGATAATGGCTCCGTAAATTGGATTTATTTGATCCGAGACAGTAAGAGAGAGAACAGTCCTACTCTAAGGTCTCTCACTAATCCTTGGGATCCCAGAGGTTAATTTATTTAGGAAAGAACCGCCTTGATCTCACTTATCTACTTAATGTCTTCATTTCTATATTTCCTTTTTCCTTTTGTTCCAGTCTTTCTAGTAGTTCCCTTCAACTTGATATTGCGTTTTCTGGGAGATGAGTATTCGCAAAGATCCTCCATGTCTTCATATCCCTCCATGAACAATTTCTTTGTACAACTTACAAGTTTCTCTGGTACGCGATTGCATTTGTAGGCAGAGGGAAACCAAAGCTTCAGTAAATGCACTCCCACTCCCACAGCAGGATGCCTTTGTAGCTCTGACATGGTGTGTGTGTGTGTGTGTGTGTGTGTGTGTGTGTGTGTGTGTGTGTGTGTGTGTGTGTGTGTGTGTGTGTGTGTGTGTGTGTGTGTGTGTGTGTGTGTGTGTGTGTGTGTGTGTGTGTGTGTGTGTGTGTGTGTGTGTGTGTGTGTGTGTGTGTGTGTGTGTGTGTGTGTGTGTGTGTGTGTGTGTGTGTGTGTGTGTGTGTGTGTGTGTGTGTGTGTGTGTGTGTGTGTGTGTGTGTGTGTGTGTGTGTGTATAAGATAAGTGAGACCAGGCTTGCTGCCAAAGGCAAGAGAGGGGGGTGAAAGAGAAACAGAGGCAGAGGGATGTTGCATTTTGGACTTTGTTGTCTGCGTGTAGATGCTAGTGTTTAAGTTATGTGCGCACATTAACAGGCTCCCACACACACACACTTTGCCAACATCAAAGTCTGCTTAGTACGTCTACCATTACCTAATCATCATCAATCACAAGTAGGACATCTCGTGTTTACAATGAGAGAAAAACAGCTCAGATGTGTTGTTTTATCACCATGCCTGCTTTCTCCATTTTTATCATGGATTCCCGACAGAGAAATGTCTATCTGACTATTTTTATAGGGAGGGTTTTTTTGTGGGAAAGTGAATAAAAGGTGCCTGAGGTAGGAAGAGAGAGTGAGGGAGGCTGCTGCATCATACACAGGCCTATTCTTCCCCCGTCTCCCCTCTCACAGGATGGGCTTCATGAGCATTGACAAGCGTGACGGTCACAGGTCTACTCAAACAATGACTGAGACTTTCTCTCTTTATCTCTTTCCAGGCTGACTCGGGGCCTCGCGGGGCCAGCAGGGAACGTCTGGGTGCAGAGGGGAACCACCCACAGGAGAAGGGTGGCCCTTCAGTCCCTGCCCACCTCCTGGGAAACCCTTATGCCTTTGGTCTCAGCCCCGGTGCGGTCATGCAGGATTCACGTTTCCAGCCCCTCAAGTGAGTCACACACTGCTCTGCCTGTGTCTCTAGATTTAAGGAGTTTACAAGGTTTCCATTAAAAATGGAGTTTCTCTTTGCATTGTGATAAGTGCATGATCAATTATTCATGGGTATATTAAACTCATTAAAATAAGTAGCCGCAACAAATTACAAACATTTGTTTTGTTGGCGTTGGTGTGATGAGTGTGAGTATATGTGTACAACAGTAGACACAAACAAGTCAAACTAACCATCACTTTTTCTGTGTTGTGCCCCCACCCCCCTCTCCTAACTTTAGTATGGCCAGACAGATGTCTAACGCAGTGCCCCCTGGTCATGTACCAGAAGAGTACCTCCGTGGTTTCCGGCCCTATGCCACGACTGAGGATGCCCTCCGCATGCCCTCTTTGCCCATGGGCCTGGACCCCGCCACTGCAGCCGCCGCAGCTGCCTACTACCACCCCAGCTACCTGCCCCACCCCTCTTTCACGCCATACAGGTAAGCCTCTCCATTAATTTGTTGACTAAGCACCTATTTCCTCTGAGAGCAAATTGTGCAAGCCAGTGCATATAAAGGAGCTAAGTATTAGTAATGCTTATACTCAGCAGTAAATGCATTTGTGCAAAGCTGACCTTGAATAAATGTTCCCAGAGGTACAAATATTGTGGTTTTAATGTGTATGTGTTTATTTGACCGGGTAAGAGATTTCATTTGGAGTTGAAAAGAGATGTGACTTTCACAGATGGCAGTACAAATAAAAAAACAGGTTCACGTTCAAGGAAACCAAATACAAATAACGCATCGTTTTATCATGGGCAGGAAGGAAGTCAGGAAAACAAGTTGGCAGAGAATCACTTAAACACATAAGAGCAGCGTTAATCATATCGGATGCACTGAGGACTGTACTTAAGGTTTTTATTATATCATCATCTGAAAAGCTGCTGCCAAGAGGCCTTTGTTTGAAGATATCCTGGTCAGCTGTGTCAAAAAGCTTTTAAGAGACTGATTAAAACATACATTTACATCACTGTTTATTGCCAAAGGCTGCAGTATTGTCATTTACTACCTTCGAAGCTGCTTTGATAATGCTATATTGATTGCTAAATTACAGAGGCATTATACCTATTTGACAGATTTCATGGGTATCTAATATGTGTTGCAGTATAAGGCAAACAAAACTCAGTATTGATTTATTAATGAAGCAGTTTTATTTATTTCTAAGCTTCTTACACCAAGGCAGTAAATAGCAAGACCCATTTCCCTAGTCTTAACCCGAGCTTGGTTATGCGTATGAATAAAATATGAACAGCCATAAGAAAGCCGCTGCTGGTTTTGCCACTTAATCCCATATATCTGGAGCTTTTTCATGCATGCTTTGTGGGAAATTACCATAAATGATTCCTGGAACTGTTTATACATCTGAGATGAGACGTTTCCTGCTCACAACTGAAGAAAAAAAAGAAAAACTAAATTAGTTTTGTTTCAGGATCTTTGCTTATTGATTTATAGAGTTCTTTATCGGAGTGACAACCCAGTGGTCATACACAGAAAACACCAGCAGCAGAAAATGTATGTGAGATGTTTGTTTGAAAATACATTGATTTTAAATGTTTCCTACGTATGATCGTGTATACTCTGTGTGTGCTGAGAAGGACCCTGCTTGCTCTGGGCAATCTCACAGGCTGTGTGCCCCTGGTCTGTCAACCAGGGAGATCAGAGCACTGCAGCACCCATCACACACACTGCGCTGTAATGGATTTAATGAGGGGATGAGCAGTGGCTGTCACACACATACACAAAAACACACAGTTGTGCATCAACACACAGCAAAGTCTCTCGTTGGCTGCTGTGTGGTGATTGAGGTTAGCTGACAGACGACGCTGCTGTTTTTTCTTCAAAGATGGAAGACCCTGTGATGTCACTTCTTTGGGAGAAGCGCACAGGTTAATGATAGTGAATGCTGCACTGTCGCACAAAGGGACTGACTTCTTCTCTTCCTCTTTTTATCCCAGGATGGACGACCCGTTCTGTCTCTCTGCTATGAGGTCACCTTTCTATCAGCTGCCAGGAGGGGGAGCTCTCCCTCCCATGCATCCCTCCGTTCACATGCACCTCCAAGGAGTGCGCTACCCTGGAGACTTCACTCACCCCTCTCTGTCGGCACTGCAGTCTGAGAGGTAAAGTCTCCTTAATCCAAGGACATGTACAATCAGTAGTGCACACATGCAGTAGATCTCCGCAGTGTGCCGTGATTTATTTCATCATGTGACTGACTTCCTGTCCCCTTTTGTTTTTTAGGCATCAGCTGGAGGATGAGCTACGGCAGAGAGAGAGGGAGCGGGAGCGAGACCGAGAACGCGAAAAAGAGAGAGAGCGTGAGACGGAAAGAGAAAAAGAACGGGAGAGAGAGCGAGAAAGGGAGAGAGAACGGGAAAAGGAGCTGGAGAGGGAGAGAGAACGGGAGCGAGAAAGAGAGCGTGAGAGAGACCGGGAGAGGGAGAGAGAAAGAGAGAAGGAAATGGAGAGGCAGAACGAGAGAGCGCTGAGGGAGAAGGAGCTGCAGGCCTCCAAGGCCATGGAGAGCCACTACCTGGCCGAGCTCCACGCCATGAGGGGGCAGGAGGACCGGACCAAGCCCGAGAGACTCACCCCTAACCGGGCTGGTATGTGTCTCTCACTGTAGCTCCCTTAAGCTACAATCATACTGATTACAAACACTGGTCCCTGCAAAACACTGTATATGAGATAGAGCTGAAACAATTTGTCTTTTAATGAACTATTCCATCATTATTTTTTTCACAGTAAACACTTAATGATAATGAGTTACTTGTCAGTCAGGAGTTATTTGCTTAACAAGTCTGTGGTTCCTTTCTCTCCCTCTCTGACTGTGGTCACTCAAAAAAACATTTTAGGTGTAGGACTTTTGTTAAGACCAAACAAGCAATGTCCCCTACACAATGACCATGCCGTTTCTGACATTTAATATACTAAACTACTGCTAAAATAATTGTCAAATTAATGTTATCATTTGTTGAAGCCCTAATATCAAAATGTTCACACTGTCCTTTCCAACTACCACAGATAAAACCAAAGAGCCCGCCCCTCCAGGTCCCAAACCTGTCCCACCAGGACTCCACCCTTCAATGGTCCAATCACATCATCCCATCCCAGGTCTGATCCCAGGCCACGGCCTCTTCCTGGGGGCCGGCGCTGTGGGGACAGCGCTCTCAGCCTCAATGTTAGCTCAGAGAGCCAATGAGGAGGAGAGGTGGCTGGCACGGCAACGTAAGCTGCGGCAGGAGAAGGAGGACCGTCAGTACCAGGTGTCTGAATTCCGCCAGCAGGTTCTGGAGCAGCACCTGGACATAGGACGGCCCGGAGATGTACAAGACCACAGGACAGACTCACACAGGTGAGAAAACAATCACAGCGCTTAAACTCTCTTACAGTTTTCAGGCCTAGCAGTAGTTATTTACACAACACTTGGCGATTACAAACTTGTTTTGCCCTCGTTATCTGATGGAGAAAAGCAGTTCTCTGTGACACCAGAAACTCATGCATGCGTTCATTGCGACACTATTTTTGGGATGTTTAGCTGTCTGTCTGGGCTAGCTTTAAAGGGACAGTTGTGTCGGCGTTCTGAAGCCTCAGAAGCTGGCAGGCTTTAGAAGTTTGTTTTCAGGCAGGACTGAAAAAAAATAGACCCTGTTAGAAACATCATGTCTAATTTATTTCTGTCCGTGCTTCCTTCCAGGTCTGACATGTAGGCAAACAGGCATCTATGTTTAGGTGTTGATGTAGGGAGTAAAGTGGGGTCCTGATGATGAAAGAGATGATGTCCTGATGCTGTTTCATGTAAAATGGGCAGCGGTTTCAAACAGGCAGCGAGTGGGACGGCTAAGATACACAAAAGCTAATTCTCGGCTAATCCTCTCAACCTTGCACAGCATAAGCCCCCAGCTTACCCTCCTTTGTTACTGTGCCTGTGTTTGGGGTGCTGTGTGCGATCTAGAAGTGAGGCTAATGCTGTACTGGTAGGACAGGAGAGATAAACACGTCCAGTATCAGTAACCCTACTGGATAATTGCTGAATCACAGCTCACAGGCTGCAGATTGAAGATAACACACATTCACTCACTCACACACACACACAGAAATGCAAACACAAACAGGGAGGCATAGATAATTTGCTGGTCCTGCACAGTGCGTTCCTGCCAGGCTTGATTTGGAAAGACACTCGAGACATCCATCTGCTTTCCTTTCTTTCTCGCAGTGACCATTTCTTCTCCACCATCCATACCATTATTCCTTTTCAAGTATCTCTTCCCAAGTATCTCCCTTAACATATAAATATATATTTCTCCATATATCATTGACTATTCCTTTTCTACAAACCCATGGTTCTCTCTACTCTCCACATTGATTCCTCTCTTCTCTGTGTGTGTGTGTGTGTGTGTGTGTGTGTGTGTGTGTGTGTGTGTGTGTGTGTGTGTGTGTGTGTGTGTGTGTGTGTGTGTGTGTGTGTGTGTGTGTGTGTGTGTGTGTGTGTGTGTGTGTGTGTGTGTGTGTGTGTGTGTGTGTGTGTGTGTGTGTGTGTGTGTGTGTGTGTGTGTGTGTGTGTGTGTGTGTGTGTGTGTGTGTGTGTGTGTGTGTGTGTGTGTGTGTGTGTGTGTGTGTGTGTGTGTGTGTGTGTGTGTGTGTGTTGCATGTCCTGCATATCCAGAGGACATTGTGTGCCTTGGCCACATCCTCTCTCTGCTCTGGGCTACTCTGTCTGAGCTTGATAATGTTGCCTTGCACAGGCACACAACCCCCCAGACATACTAACAGGGATGAAGGGGAATAGACATAGCATTTTAGCACGATGGTGTGTCTCTGCATTGCAGTGTTTGGAATACGGGCAGTGTGCAGTACTTTTAACAGATTACATGATTATTTTCTATCTCTACAGATCCATACCAAATCACCATGAACCAGGAAGCCGGGACCTCCACCCTCACTTAGGCGCCCCTCCACCCCTCATCTCTCCCAAACCTCCCCAGCCACCACGTGAACACCACCCTCCCACCACCCTGTGGAACCCTGCCTCTCTTATAGACACCGCCTCAGAGTCCAGACGGAACCACGAGCCCTCAGGGATGGGACACTACGAGCTCAGTCGGCTGCCCCCCGGGCACGCAAAATATGAGGACGGAGCGCGAAGGAGAGAAGGGGGAGTGATGGAGAAGTACCCCCCACTGAGAGGTCCTCCGGGCCTGCCGGAACCCAGCACATTCCTTGCTGATCTGGAGAAATCCACCCAGTCCTTTTTTAGCCAGCAGAGGGCAACCCTGTCCCTGCCCAGCCAATATGAAATGGAGGGAGGTATGAAGAGCAATGCTGGACTGAAGAGCCTCCAGGGACACCCGGGGCACAGCAGACATGGACAAGGGCTAGGAATCACCCCCGGGACAGGCATGGGACAGGTAGCCAATGTGGGGACGGGCCCAGAGACAATGCTGATCTATGACGAATACCTCCAGCAGCACCGGAGGCCTGTCAGCAAGTTAGACCTGGAGGAGAAGAGGAGAAAGGAGGCCAGGGAGAAAGGTACCACCATGCTGTTGCACTACACCTGATCATTTGCACTCTTAGAAAGCTACATTTTGTTATCATTATGTAACGCTTAACTTTATTAGAGCAAGTGGTTTGTCAGTACTGAACTCTTTGCTTGTTGCAGGTTACTACTACGAGCTGGATGACTCGTATGACGAGAGTGATGAAGAGGAGGTGAGAGCCCATCTTAGGAGAGTAGCAGAGCAGCCGCCACTCAAACTGGAGGACTCCTCAGAGGTAAAACACCTGCCAAATAATCAATTCTTGTTGTAGTTACAAGCACTCATGACAAAACAATGCATTAAGATGTTCTTTTGCCTCTCCGCACAGAAACTAGACTTCCTGGGAGTGTTTGGCCTGACCACAGTGGGCCGGCGCGATGAGCTGGTGCAGCAGAAGAGGAGAAAAAGGAGGAGGAGGCTCAGGGAGCGCAGCCCCTCACCATCTTGCTCGCAACCGAAACGCACTCCTCCGCCGGCGCCCCAACTCAGCACACGCTTCACCCCGGAGGACATGAACCGAGCACCAGAGCTGGAGGATAAGAAGCGATTCCTCACCACGTTCAGTCTGTCCCACGTCACTGTACAGCAGAGGAGAGGTGAGGGAGTTGTGATTATAATACACAGAAATATTCCATTTCACACTTTTTTATTTATTTTGTCTGAAGTTTGAAGCTGCTCTAATAAACCTGGGTGAATACAATGGGTGATTCTGTTAAACAGTTACTCTTAATGTGGGTCTTTAGTGTTGCTTACTAACTGTTTTGCTTAATTATGTCTCAAGAACTACGTTAATTAGTGAAAGCCTTAACTGTGCGTAAAGATGCCTCCTAGCTATTCTTAATTAAATAAACTGCTGCTCCGGTATTGTTTAAGTTAAGAATGTGTGTGCCCAGGAAACTCACGCACTGGATTCAATGTTAGAATTTCAAATTAAATGAAAGGACTTAAAATGGCAAGGCACAGGAGAGGTAGTTAGAAACCACTACATTACTTTACAGAAGTGACCCATTGTCCCCTACATGCTATACACACATTGCTGATATCATGTCTCTCCTCTTTGACATCTCATTTCAGCAGAGTTAATGTTCATTTAGTTTTTCAAAAGTAGACGCTCAGTCGGCTCTACAGCTTGCTGACGCTTCACTTCAGCTGAGCTCTGCCTGCTTTACATGCGCTGCGTTCTCATGAATACTGCATGTTGACTCGAGCCTTGAAGGAAATAATAAAGGGGTCAAACAATGATCATGTCAACCTCCAAACCCCTGTGTTACATGCAGCATATTTGAAACAATGTATGCATAATGTAAGGCTTTACATTGCACTAGTTAGAAAAGGTGGACTTGGGTCAAGGCTCTGTTGGGAGACACTTGCAGTTAAACACACATATACACACACGCACAAACACACATATACACACACGCACAAACACACACATAGTGGCAGCAGTGGGCTTACAGTGATCTTAGTCTAATCCTTTTGATTTACAGTTTGCAGCCTTTAGATGGCAGCGCACTGCCTCCCATGCTGTTAGGCCACATTCAGCCTCATTTAACACACACACACGCACACACACACACACACACACACACACGTTAGGAGAAATGGGTCTTTGTGTGTAAGATATATACAGACATGACTTATTAACTAGTTCCTCTGTCTCATAGATAATGAAAGGGTGGTGGAGCTCCTTCAGGTCATTAAAGAAAAGAGCGTAACCTTGGATACCATTAGACATGCCCCTCATCTGCTGTGTAAGAGCCCTCCACCCCAGATTTCTGGTGAGATGTGTTGCTAATTGCAGTGCTCCATCTGTAGTGATGTGGATCTTGACCTCATCATGACTAACACATGTTCAAATGATTGCAGATTCTGCATTCGCCCAGCCTCCCTCTGAATCAGAAGGCCAACACAGTGTCAGACCGCAGAGCCCCTCCTCACATCGCCCAGCGTCCCCCAATGGTCACCCAAAACCCCTTGGGGAGACATTAAGACCAAAGGAACCCCCTTCTCCAGCTGTCTACCCTGACAAGGCCCGGGGGCCCGGTGAGGGGCCGGTCTCTAAGAGGAGCTCCAGCCTGCTGAACAGCTTGCGCCCCCCCCCTTCCCCTGCAGGCTAAAGAAGGTCCTCACAGCGTCAACGGGCGCACCAAACCCTGGGACAGCTTCACCCCGGAGGAATTTGCCCAGCAGTTCCACGAATCTGTGCTTCAGTCCACTCAGAAGGCTCTGCAGAAACATAAAGGTAAGCAGCACGGGCCAATGGGAGGGGTCTCTCTGCGGGGGGACCAATGGGCAACAGGACAGTGTAGTGACAAGACAAACAACTTACCATTAATAACACTGAGATACAGGATGTTACAGGTCTGCCACAAAGCTTTTATTCAGTCAATTAATAATTTAGTAAGTAATTGTCTGGAAATCTATCTTTGAAAAATGGCCATTACAAATTCCCAGAACCCATGTGGTGATGTCTTTCAATTATGCATTATCCAACCAACAGCGCTGACATACAAAGCGGCAAATAGACACATTTAACAAGTATCTTTTTGCATGAGAAATAAACTTGTATATAACTTTTCACTCTCACATTATGTGCAATGCCTTGTTAACATGCTGCTGTGACAATCTTATTTATCTTTAGCTGAAATGATTGGTTTATTGACATGTTTTATGGGCTTCTGTGATAGTAAACTGATATTTTGGGTTTGGATTGGCAATTTGTCACTTTGGCCATTAAGTCATTCTTCCGGCATTCCAAACTTAAAGTGGACCTATCATGCTATATTTGAATAATATATTGTAGGGCCATACCTATATAAAACATGTCTGTGAAGTTGTTTTTTTTAAATACCAAACAGATCATGCATTTTAGCCATGCCTCATTTCGCTCTATTTGCTCTTTTCCAGCCCTGTTTTTGCAAGGGCTGATTCTGTGAGAAGTCTTCTTCGCTGCTTTTGTGGCAGACTACAGCGCCACTTACAGGCCTGGCATATGTACTACAGCGTCTCCAGCGCTTTCGAGTGGCAATGGCCGTGGCCCAACCCCCCATTCCCCTGATAGGTGGAGAGTTGCCCATATAGGCGGAGCTCCCTGTTTCTGACGTCAGAACAATTTCAAATCTGTATCAGCTCCGTTGCAGCCCCGTTTTTAGAGATTTGGGTATGGAGGAAAAGAGAGAGGGTTGTGTTTTCTGACACTTGGTGAGTTCCCTGACACACCGGGGACACATATTCATGTATAAAAGACGTACAAAAGTGCATTTTGCATGATAGGTCCCCTTTAATTTATGAATTCATAGACATCATATGCACGGAAAAATTAGGATCTAATACAATACAATACAGCTTTATTTATAGAGCACTTTAAACCTCCAGACCAAAGTGCTGTACAGTCAAATAAACAAAACAAAACATACAAAAAAATAACACAGCACAGCTCACACACCATAAAACAAGTACAATTTAAAAGCAATAAAAGCAACGCTCTAAAAGATGTTAATACGCTAAGGAGAAGAGGTGGGTTTTAAGAAGCGATTTAAAAACAGGCAGTGTGGAGGCCTGTCTGATGTGCAGGGGCAGATCGTTCCACAGTGTGGGAGCCGCTACAGAGAAGCAACGGCCCCCTCTGAGCTTTGACTTGGTTCTGGGCACATTCAGGAACAGTTGATCAGCTGACCTTAGAGGGTGTGTACGGGTGTAGCAGCTCAGAAAGATATGGTGGGGTCATGCCATTTAGGGATTTAAAAGTAAATAAAAGGATTTTGAAATTACATTACATTTCATTTAGCTGACGCTTTTATCCAAAGCGACTTACAATTACCAATTACAGGGACATTCTCCCTGGAGTAACTAAGGGCTAAGTGCCTTACTCAAGGGCACACTAGTGGTGGTGTTCCTGGCGGGATTTGAACTCACAACCTTCCGATCTTCAGCCCACCTCACTACCCGAAACGAAATGAATCGTAAAATGTATTGGCAGCCAGTGGAGCGAAGCCAAAATGGGGGAAATGTGGTCATATTTCCGTGTGCCAGTTAAAAGCCTTGCTGCGGCATTTTGCACCAAATCGAAATCCCTAGATGAGTCATGTTACCATTATTGCAATAAATACAAAGTGATCAAAAATGACACGATCTCCCTTCTCTCTCATCTTGTTCTTCAGGTGGAGCTGCTGGGATGTCGGAGTCGTCCCACCTGCAGGAGTCCTCGGTCCACTACAACATTCCGGAGCTTCAGAGCGCTCCTGGACGGCCACCGCAGCATTCACAATCTCACTCCAACGCACATCCATTTCCCCACCCACTCTCACACGCTCACCCTCAGCCCAACGGGCAGCACTTCTCTGCAGGCCTCCACCGGGAGGCCTCGGGGGCGAGGGAGGACCTGTCGGGTCCAGAGGACTCTGAGGAGGACCAGGAGGAGGAGGAAGAGGAGGCTCCCGCTTCCAAGTGGCAGGGGATTGAGTCCATATTTGAAGCTTATCAGGAATATGTTGAAGGTAAGCAGCTGCAGTTAAAACATGCCGTGATATACTGTACTGCTTAAAATCTCATAACTGTTGATTTAATGTATTTTCTATTATATGACGGATACATAACCCCTCCCTCGGAAAAAGCCATTAATATCTCATTGGCTGTTTCATAGTTTAGTGTTACCATAGACTGTATTCCTAGAAAATAGTTTTTTTAAACAATTGTGTTCATTTGTCACTAGAGGGCAGTATTCATGCTTCCTCTAGAATTCAGTGTTTTGTAAATATCAGGTTCTTCCCCTAACCCTCTGTCTCTCACTCTCTCTGGTTCTCTAGAGCAAGGTTTGGAGCGACACGTGTTGCAGAGCCAGTGTCGAAGACTAGAAGCTCAGAACTACAACCTCAGCCTGACCGCTGAGCAGCTATCTCATAACATGGGGGTAAGAAGCATGCACAGAACACTAGAGTGCCTAGTAACACACATTGCAACATCTATAAGCCCAAACTCATCAACACCTCTTAACAGTTCCCTTCTCCACACATACTTATTTGAGTATGAATTAGATTAACCTCTATGATAATAATGGACAGCACAGTATTCTCACATTGTGATTCCTCCTTTATTTTGACCACCTTTGTATTATTACCATGGAGCTGAAAACACATCCTCTTTGTTGTGATTATTCTTTAAACTTAAATATATATTGACATCTTCCGTCTTGTAGGAGCTGATGTCCCAGAGGCAGAAGCTGGCAGTGGAAAGGGAGAAGCTCCAAGCCGAGCTGGAGCACTTCAGGAAGTGTTTGACGCTGCCACAGACACACTGGCCGAGAGGCGGCCATTACAAGGGCTACCCTCCCAGGTGACCCCGACCCGCCGCCCTGATGGCCCCCCGCCATCCCCCTTCAGACTGATACCCAGAGTTTATTTTTCATGGCCTGATCCACATGGTTCCAAGGAGGAGAATAAGACTGGCTGGATAAGATGAATGAATGAATTGAGTGAATGGATGAGTGGTGGATGAATGCACAGCAGACAGGACAGTGAAGGACAGTCTTTGGACGGTGGCCAGGGACTGTGCCACTACCGTGTGCCAATGTAGCCAACCCAGAGAGCATGGGCCAGGAGCACCTGAAGATCACCCATAATGCACCTGCTTGTCACTCTTCAGCCCCCTGCTGCTCAATTGTTCAGTCCCTGCATCCCTCCCGCCACAGCTACACAGACAATCCTGCCAATGAGGGGCCGCGGCCCCAGGGGGGGTGTCGTCCAGAGACTCGAACGCTTCGAAGGCTTCTGGCCAGTCGGGACTGATCTTATCACAGTGGCCACATGAGCTTTTGAACTGGAAATGCACTTAAGAATAAAAGCTGAAGAACTACCTGGTGGTACTGTGTTACAACAAAGAACTGTTGGAATTAGGGAAGAACTTAGAGAATGCACATTTTTTGGAAAGAATTAAGGAAATGTTTTATTTCGAAATAGAAAATTTGAGAATAAGAATTCTAAAAGGTGCTTCAGCCTTGTATTGTATATAATATGAAGACTTAAAAGAATTTTGTATGTTTTTATTACTTTAATCATTGTTCTTTTAAAGAAAAAAAGCCTGCCATTTTTATATGTTTATGCTTTTTTGGGTTGGAAAAGAAAGCCTTGCTTTTAGTGTTTGTACTGCTGCTGGCCAGAACAGCTCATTTTGAGACATTTAACAGTGAGAGAGAACAGGATATATTCCTCCTCTCACTCTCTCCTCACCCAACCACAGCGTCCGAGCTCAGCAGAGCTCACTGAGGTCCTGAGAAATGGCACCCACCTTCTCACCCCTCCCTTCACAGCAACATGTCATTCTGTTTTAACACCCAGCATCCACTCCTCTGCTCAGCGTCACTGCTGCTGGCAGGACTAGTTAGCTAATGATGTTCTCATACTGAAACCCACAGCGACAGTTTTCTTTTTATACTTTGGTCACTTGACATACTTGATTTTGTAAAGACATGAAGAGTCTCTTAAGCAGCCAGCTGATGAAACTGGTTATTATTGCTTTATCCTACCGTTGGACCTTTCACTCCACACTCTGACATTATATTGCATTAGACTCCAACAATATCACGGTTTGCATAATGTGTTGCCTTACAAGCCCTTATCAGCAGCCATGAGAGGACATGGTGCCAAAATTAAATAAACTGAATCATTTTGGATTGTTAATTTGTATTTGAGTTGCAATAAGGTAGCCAAACGTTCAAAACAGAATGGCCATCTTCCTCTGCTGATAACCTTTGACCCCATTCATCTTTTCCTGCAGACACTCCTTTTAAGGACTCCCCCTATCCAAAGTTGCCAACACATTTTGAAAAAAGCCTTGAAATCACACTAGAATAAAACTTGATAAAATATAAAGGTTTATTTACCTGTCCCCATGTACAACCTGCCCACAGTTCATCCCCGGACTCAGCGAAACGCTTTTCTGACTTCCTCCCCGATTAAAAGGTGCATTGATCATTGTTTTGAATTAAAACGCTGCACAAGCTATTGTGGTGGGAAAGTTGGTGTCAGAATGGGGGCATTCAATACTTCAAAGTAAATCTTGATTCACTTTTTCAAATGTGCAAAATAACTAATTTATAAAGACAAAAGCACAGCCACCCCTACATACAGCATATTAAATACAAGTGCCTCAAGAAGTTGGGAGCATGTGAATGAGTTGCAGTCCACATGATGTTAATTCTACACATAACACCAGAGATCAGGGACTTTACATTGAAGTGTCTATTGTACGTCTCACACCTTTCAAATATGTGCATGCCAAGAACAAACACAGAATCTTAACGCATCTCCGAGAATTCAATCATGACACCTTTTTATAAATGAGGCCCATGCCATTCGAGGGGATCAGGTTGATACAGAATGTAGTCTGTCATTTTTACAGAGCAGAAGAGGCACGCTGAGGAGAGCTGCCAACGACCCCCACCCCCCCGCCTCCCTGTCTCCAGCCCACGCACGCCCATGCAATAGCCCCATTACTCAGTGGAGGATGTCTAGATGCTGTGAAATCCTGTTTTTAAAATGTACTTGTTTGAATTCATTGTAATGTAATATATTCTTTGTTGAATGTAGTAATTAGGTATTTATGAATATATGGCTGTGATTTCAGACAAAAAAGAAATAAAATATTTCCAAAATGTTAAATATCAACCCTTGTCCATTTGTGGGTGCTACACATATTGAAAACCGTGTCAATGGTTTTGGAATGAAACTGTGTTGAATCTATGGGCTTCCTTCTATCCCACAAAACATCTATTTTAGATTTTAGAAATGATTCTTTAGTTGCACTTCACTTAGGCACTGACCTTCAGAACTGGAGTTGGTCCTATGATGTTTCTCTTCAGCTCCCCTGCTGTTCTTAACTATTGAGGATGGGTTAAATGCAGGGTAAAGGACAAATTCCCTTTATGTTAAACTTAAATCCTACACTACTAAGTAGCCATTTATTTAGTTCTTAAATGTATTTTTCTTCTCTGACAAACAAGAGCATCTAGTAACGTTCATTTAATTTCTATATAACATGACCAAAAAAGTGAAACATTTCTGTAGACTGACTTCTTCAAATATCTGTTTTAGTCCAGGAATACAATTCTATACCCTAGAACTCTACACAAATACATTTATTTTGACATTAACTGACATATACAACAATGGTGGCAGTTTTAAACTACAGCGAGCATCCTTACTTAAATTAAATATGCACATAATTCAAACAGAAGATACATATAAAGCCTAGATGCTTTTCATTTGTACAGAGTAATGCATGTCTCACACAACAAATATAACCCATTGACAAAACCAAAGTAAAAGCAAGTCAAATTCAGTTGCCATCAAGAGGTCATTGATAGATATCTTTGAATTACATTTCTGAGAAAAAAAGAGTCTTTAGCGTAATGAAGGGCCGGGTGAGAAAGAACAATCTGTAGTTGAAGACTTGAGATCATGGGACAAGATGGGAACCTGTGCAGCAGGCTTTGAATTCTGAGTTTAAAAGTCAGCGAACTGTCCCTTACTGGACCCAGGGTGCTGATTGGAGCGAAGCTTGTACAAGCAGTTGAGAGAGTCGAGCAGGAAGGCGCGTATGGTGTTGATCTCCATCAGGGTCAGGTTGTCCAGCTGTAGAGGGGAGGGACCAGAGTTACAAAGGAGACATGCTTTTAACAAGGGTAAATCATATTCTTTCTTTAATAACTGCTGTGAATACTTAAGCTCATATTTGCTGGATCTTACTATGACAGGGAAAAGGGAAGCAGTAGGGCCACAAGATGAGGGGATAAAAAGATCATCTCAAGACACTGACTGTTAATCCTGTTATTAAGAAACAATTACAGCACTCCAAGGTTCACATTCCCTAATGAATGTTCACAGATTTTCACTACTTTAAGATGCCCTTTAGAGCAGAAACATAATTCCACTGCTCACAATATTCTTGAATTCAACACATCCTACAGTGGCCATTCAAATGAGATTGTAAATGTGTAGCCATGTTACAATTTCATGTTTATTTTTGTTAATTACTCATAATATAAAGAACTTTCCGTCCAAACATTTTTATCAATTGTTTGATATTTTGTTTCAGCTATACAATATCATATTAACAGTTTGTGTAAACGGAAGGCTCAGCGTGGGATTCTTCATGATGTACCTTGGCATGCGCCTCCAGCTGACTGATGAAGCTGTCGGCGGAGAGGCGGAGTTTGGCAATACGCGTGTCCCAGATGTCTTTGACCAGCGTGCGGATCTCATCCGCTTTAGGGATGTTGTCAGACGCACTGCAGAGACACATAAACCTTCATGTAAGGTATAGAGTGCCACATACAGAGACAATAAGGGAGCATGTAAAGCACGTTAGTTTAAATACCATAAGAATGGGGATTATTCATATATAAAAGACTCACAAGTTCAGAAGCAGTTTGGTCAGCTCCATGTAGTACGGACTGGGAACAGGCGTAAAGGTGTCCTCTTTCCTCTCAAGATCTCGCATCTCCTCCAGTTTATCTGCACAATATCAGGAAAGTCAAAAACAATCATTGTATGTCCCGAACTGTCAGATAGAAGAAATCAGTATAAATGTCAAAATATGAAGAGGTGCCGTCCTATTTCCAGTATTTTCAGCAACTGAATCATATAAGAAAGGTTAAGAGAACTGAAATGTATAGTTTACTTTTCTTGAGTTAATGAATTCATCGTTTAAAACTAGTTTATCCTTTACAGCTAAAGCTTGATTTTTTTCATTCTTTAGACCTTCATTGTTGTCTGAAATACAATTATCGAACACACCAACCTATGATGAACACTATAAAGGCGTTGAAGTTGTTATTTCCATTAATATGTGGAAATAAGAAGGACTGATGCAACAATGATGAACATGGATGGAGCCTTGGATTTCAATATTAGGATTACTTTAAGTAATTAGTTGTTACAAATTGGTGCATTATGTACATTTGATCCCAGAATTTAAGTCAACTTTCCATTGTTTCTATTTTTAAAGTGGTCAGTTATTCCTGCAGCTTGTATATATATATATATTGAAGATGGGTATGCATTGTATATCTTACCAACATCCATCCACGCAGGAGGAACAATTCTACATTTCTGTCTTTGTTTCAAGTTTAGGGCCAGCCAGACGGGAACATCGACAGGCAGTCCGGGGTTGAAGGGACCCAGGTCGCCCTGAGGATACACACAGGAAAGAAAACTGACTCCCATTCTTTAGTTTAGATCATATAAACAGTAGCGTTGCATAGATATGGCAAGCCGATTTCGCTTTTATTCATTTCTGGAGGATATCAAAAAAACAATTCTTACTAGTAATAATGTTTATTTCTGATAAAAAATTGAATTTGAACTAGTTCGAATGCAAATTCCCGATATCAGAAATTCAATTGTAACTTGTTGCAATGTGTATTTCTGATATCAGAAATGCACATTGTAACTTGTTGCAATGTGTATTTCTGATATCAGAAATGCGATTTTAACTAGTGAGATTTGCATCGTTTTTCTCATTCATTTCAATGGGAGTTGGCATTTGAACTAGTTGGCACTAGTTCAAATGCCAACTTCTGATATCATTAATTCAATTGTTACTAGTTACAATTACAATTGAACTAGTAAAAATACCAATTTCTGATGTCATTAATTCAATTGTTACTAGTTAAAATTACAATTGAACTAGTAAAAATACCTATTTCTGATATCAAGAATTTCAACTAGTCTAAATGCCAACTGTTTATATCAGAAATACAAGTTGAACTTCAAAATCATAATCCTTTTTTTGATATCAGGAATTCAATTGTAACTAGTAATAAATAAAAAATGAATTATAACTAGTAACAATTGAATTCCTGATATCAAAAAAAGATTTGATCCTCCAGAAATGAATAAAAGCTAAATCGGCTTGCCATACATAGATTTCAGTTAACGTTTCGGCTTCACCTAACAGAGAAGCGACCCGGTCTGAATCCCCAAATGTGTGACAATTCAACATCAGACTGAGAGGTTTGACACATGCTAACCTTAACTATTGAGTTAATGTAACTAACGGTATGCAAGTTTTCAGCATCCGGCTAAACTCAAACTCTTTAACCCCTAACCCAAGAGAAAGCAGTCCATAGCAACCTTGTAAACAACGCATTGACAAAGTTATTCACTTACTTACCCCGATCAAATAGATCTTGTCTAAACTGAAATTTGGAATTATCTTCACCGTCTCCTTCTCGGCGAGGAACTCTACCTCCGAGGCATCCATAGCTGTCAGGTTGGCAAGATAATTTTTATTTCCAAACTCTTGTACCCTCACATCTACTCTTCGTCTTGTTTTCCCGCGCTGCAGCCTGTCTAAAAAAAACAAGGAGGATGAGACAGCTACGTCACTACCGGGGACGTCGTGTCGCACAGTGAGGACGTTGTACCGTTACTTGAACTTTAACCACTTGTATTATTGTTATGTAATTCCCCGCATTTGGCGAATCGTAATGTTGAGAAAAAAATGTATTTATAAAGGTCGTTAGACCCGGCTGGAAATGGCGACACTGACCATTCCTTTAGTTTTTACTTTATCTGCGCCGGAAGTAAGAAGCTGATCACGTGCCAGCCACGACAGTTACAGATAAGCACCAGTAGATGGCAATATTTACCCTGATTTCACAATTTCCCTTTAGAAAAATTACATTAGTCTTAATCAAAAAGGATTGTAAAGTCCTGCATACAAATATTATCAGTTGGCCTTAGACCTTGGGAAAGTGTAAGAAGTCAATAATCTCACTGCAGAAAAGTTGTCAATGTCAGTGGTTTACTGTTATAAAACGTGTTTGGATTCATATTGGGCTACATTACAATGATGCAATAGTGTGTATGTTGCATTTTATAGCCGTAGATGGTGATCATATATGTTTGTAGCAATAGGCCTACTGTCCTTTGAAAACTACGTTTCTGTCAAATCGACTTTGTTTTCAGATTTGTGATGTTACTCAGGATTATTAGTAGTTTATTTAGTTAAAGAAAACAGGATAATCTTTTCAAACCATACAGATACACCTTATCCTTCAGTTGAATCTGAAGCATTCAAATGTATCAACTTTGGAGGGAAGTGATGTACTGTATCTCATTTTTTCACTTAAGAAAAAGAAGCCTACTTCAACACATGAATAATTAGTTTATGCAGTATCTTCCTTAGACGTCAGAGAACATTTTTATTTTAGATTTTTAATAAATATCTTGGATTGTTAAAATGTTGCTTATTATATTTGTATCGTAAACAATAATGAAAGAAATACATGTTCAATGTTACCATAAGTATTGTTCTGGCACTTCGTGTTATTGATGTGAATCTGACACCTTTGTAAAGGTTCGGTTGTTCCACAAGGTGGAGCCATGCAGAGAAGAGTTGTTTCTAAATATACTTCTCATGGTGCATTTTTTGTTTTATACATTCTGACAAATTATAGGCAGTTAGGGAGTGTCAAAATCACATCCTTAATAAAATGAACCCCCTCCTACACAAAAACATTTATTATACAGGTTTTGAGCAGATAACATACTCCTCACCAAATGCTTCTTTGAAGCCATTTATAAAATCCTTAAGTTTCTTTTAGCAAAAAGCTAGAGCCCTGGAGCTGGTGATTTAAAAAATATGTTTATCAACCTTACAGTCAAAAGGCAACAGTATAAGACACCTAAGACAATAATCTACTAAATGACATGAGTCTGACAAAGATTTGGTTCCCAAATGTTGTTTAATTTTACATTCGGTTCATAAAACATTGTAGAAAATGTGTCATCCACACAATAATTTAAGTTATTAGCGCTTACTAAATAATTATTATCTCAAATACAAAGGTAGTTTTCTATCCTCAAATGTTACATTACTTATTATATATTACAATTTAGAGGGGGCAGTTAAGTATTAAAGACTATTACGCAATTCGTACAACTGATACCCAACCTAAAACATCATCCACACAATAATTTAAGTTATTAGCGCTTACTAAATAATTATTATCTCAAATACAAAGGTAGTTTTCTATCCTCAAATGTTACATTACTTATTATATATTACAATTTAGAGGGGGCAGTTAAGTATTAAAGACTATTACGCAATTCGTACAACTGATACCCAACCTAAAATATCATTCACACATTCCTGTGATCTGATCCAGCCTATTGCATTTCTGAAAACAATCAAAATCCAATGTGTGCACTATCCAGAATGACATTCTGAAGTGCACCAGCGACAAGAAAAGGACACAGAAAGTATGTGGAAGATTGAATAATTTAAAAGTCAAACCTTTGGAGTTAATCATCACATTAATATTGCTGGTGGATCCAGAGAATGACTCAAGTTGGTAATAGACACACAGTCAGAAAAGACATAACTTTTTTAAATCCTGTCTTTTCAGTTCATCTTTATACTCATTTATTTATTAATCGTCTTAAATAAACAACCCCAAACTTCTTCAGACCATATTTCTGTGTGAATGAAGTTACAGGGTTAAAAATAAACTAAACATTTAATAATACAGCATCTATCATATCTCAGTAGTACAATCATCTCCTTACATTTTTACTAATAATGTTTTAATAATTTAAGACTTGATCTTTATATGGCTATTGGTTTTACAATTTAAGAAGAAAAATGTATCAAATAATTTAGAATTTAACTTGCACACAACTATGAATAAACACAAACCATTGCAGAAAAAAACAAAATGGCCTTCATCACCTTGGTATCACCTTGTGAAGGTGGACGCAGGCTAACAGTGCACATATGGCACTTGGCCTTGAGAGATTTGGGCAGTACCGGTCAGTACTCTGCAAGATCCTCTCAGTACGAGGGGCTTTTAATGGAACAAAGACCATGTTTCCAGCATTTGTGTACTCCTGCGCTACACAATAGGTAGCACCATGCATGCTGTAACGGCAGCAATATTTGTCTGCATGTCCAAGGTGCTGCGGACTGATTCTCTTAGCACAGATCCAGGACAGCCTTGTTGATCACAGGGTTGGTCCAGTCGTTCCTCAGATCATCCAAGTGATTGTCAAAGTCAATCAAGTTCTCGTAGGATCTGCCCTCCAACAGAGAAGACGTGATCTTCTGTGCTTCGTTCCAGTCCTCAAAACAGTCACTGGAAGACAAAAACATCATTTAGGCAATTAACACCCTAAACATTTCTAGACAATGTACATGTTTGCTATTTAGTGAGATAACACAGTAGAGCCTGAATGCCAGAAGCTGTGGTTAAGGATGCATATACACTACAGTTTCATTCAAACAAATGTAAACAGAGAGACACTCACAAAGTTACTTCTCTGCTTTTCCACTTGTGTTCATGATGGTCATAGATAAGCACAATGGGCTCAAAACAGCTCATTGTTAATCTACTGGTGTCCAGCTGAAGGAAAAAAACAGAAAATTACAAGGAAGTTAGAGCCCTTCAGACCTGTTCGGTATATCTTTACAGAACCAAACAAGTGTGTTGCACGTTTTACGTAAAACATATAAAAATCTCTAATATTTCAGATTTGCAAGTCCATTTTTATATCGATACGATATACACACCATAGCGATTTAAAACCAGTGGCTGCCTGGAAGAACACATGTGTTAAACAAAAATGCACCACATGCTTTGAAAATTCAGGAAGTCAGTAGTTAAAGGTAGGGTAGGTAAGTTTGAGAAACCGGCTCGAGATACACTTTTTGTTATATTCCATGGAATGCTCTTAACATCCCGATAGCAATGAATATCTTAAGTGCTTTGACATAAAATCCATAAAAAAATGTCATCTGTGGAAGCCGTAGCGCTGTAAAAAGCACGACCAATCATTTTCGCCGGCCCGGCTAAAATAACTGGATGGCCTACCTGCCTGTCAGCCTTCCATCTGTGCACAAATGTATCTCGTGCCCTCATTGGTCATATGCGCGTTCGTGTGTGTTGGAGGAGGGGCTCTGTAAGGAAGTCTGAAGGAAGTGGCAGATTTTTTCCAGTTGTGTATTTTCAAATTCTAGCGCACTCGAGCTGGTTTCTCCAAAATTACCTACCCCACCTTTAAGCATTTACAGATTCCATTAACAGCAGCTGAAATCAATAACTTTTACCATAACAATTGCTGCTTCATGGAAGTTTTCAGAGATCCTTGCAGCCACTTTTTCTGCAAATTGGTTAGGTCTGCAAGAGAAAGGACCAACAATTGAATGCATTAAAGTCCAAATAAGCTTGATATTTTGATGTTCATAGCTGGTTGTTTAGCAGCAGGTGTGCATTTTGTTTTCTGTACCTCGAATCCTTTGTGCGTTCATTGGCTTGATAATATCCAGCGATGATGTAATTATTTTCTTTACACCAAGTATCGATCTAAAAAAGGAGCAGGAGTCATGGAGCCAACATGTAAAGAAAGGACAGTAAAGATCAGAACACATTTATTTTCAATAAAATAAAAAACGACATGTAATTATTATTGTCTACTTTATAAGTGATACATAGGTAAAACAATGTCATTTAGATCAGTAATATGATATATGTTGTCTTTTATAAGGGATTCTCTGAACAGTATGTTCTAGCTCATCTATTATGTGCCTTTAACCAGTTACTCATTATATCCACATTAACAATATCCATGCTATGAAAAATGTCACTATGTAAATATTTTGTGAAAATGTAGTCAGTCCAAAGAGATGTAGTGATATACTGTATTGATCCCAGATTGGTAAATTATTTAGTTGCAGTAGCAGCTGAAATACATTTGATAGTTGTAGCTTGTGAAGTTAAGATTAGATTAGATTGAACTTTATTCTCTAGTGCAAGTACTGAGACAACAAAATGTAGTTTGCATCTAACCAGAAGTGCAAAACATCAGAAAGTGCAATGTTATTCAAGTATAACATATATGTATACGTGACTATAAACAAACTGAATGCATTTACATTTTACAATATGAATACTGGAGGTATAAACATTATTTAACAGGAGCATAGAAATTGGAAAAACAATAAATCAGGAATAAATATAGTTGAATGTATACCTCTATAATGTGACTTACCAGCGTTAAAGCTACTTCTAGCATGGGGGCCAGAGCCAGAGAGCCGTGAAACAGCGGCACACAGTCCACACACAGGACAGGTTCACTGTGGCTCTCTTTCTTTTTCTCCTTCGTCTTTTCTGCCACCAGCAATCCATTCACGGCAAAGTGAGGATACTTGGCAGCATGTAACAGCATTTTACAGTAAGCCTGGCTGGTCAGTTGAATAGGCATGTTCTTTAAAAAACCGGAAAAACCGGTAAAAAAAAGAAAACAGATCCTGAGGGAACTTGAGTGGCTACACGATGAGCGACTGCTGCCTGCTAGCTAGAAAAAGTAGATATCTACCTCAGCACTCACCTTACCGTCAGAATATGTTGTTACCGCTATGCTTTCTGACACCAACGTGTACGCTTTACAAGTAGCAAAAATCACAATTGTCTTTTTTTTCCTAAACGAATTAGTCACTGTCAGGAAATATAGCCATAAGAGCTAATCTCACTGCCACCGTCCACTCGTTTCTGCAGCACCGGTGGTGCCGTAAATCAGAATGGATATGACGTAAAACTGGCCTTTTTTTATTTATTCAAGAACATATATGAACCTTACATATGTTGTATATAAAGAAGTTGACATCAGGGGTAGACATATAAAGTAATAGAAATATTACAGAAAATAAAGAAAGAATAGAAAGAAAGAAAATCTGGCCTTGTTTCACCTTCTCATGAACTCTTGGCTTACGTCTTTCCGGTTGTCACAATCATACTTCCTTTTAGCCCATCGGCGGACGTGATCAAGGAAGAGACAGCAGGTCGTATTTTTTTTCAACAACATCCTTCTAAATATATCGAAAACATCACATTTTACCACTTAAATACATTGTAGCATTCACTGTATTCTTGGTGTAGGTATTTTCTCAAGATAACTGGGCAATTTTAACCGCAATAATCAATTGTGTACAAGTGACTTTGTCAGAGGGGATCGGAGCTAGGACCTGCTAACTGAAGGGCTAGCTTTCGTAAGCTTATGGCATCTTTGTTTGTAAATGCTGGTGATGGTAAAACTATGGTAAGATAGAACTGTGATCAGCTACAGGATTATATATATAAGCGGTTGAATGTTGAAATGTACAGTATTGGCTTGAATTACTTATTTCCATTATTATCTATTATCCCTTGCTAACGTTATGACCTTGTGTTTGCAGCTAAAGCTAACATTAGCTTAGCTTTCCGGACTAACGTCAGCTAACCTTTTTCATTTCATTTCATTTTATTTGTTCCGTTCATGGTATGCAACACTTAATGTATAATACTTGTTAACAAAACATGTCTCTGTAAACACACCATTGAGCGAAAAGGAGCAGGGAGATGAAATCGTATATTACCTGCCCCTTTCTAAAAAAAACAAAATAAATGGTCTGTCTTTCATATTTCTTTTTCATAGCCAAACTTATTCACAGCCATAACAGTATCTTAGGATAATAAGAGAAACACAAAAAAATACTTATTTGACGGTTAACGGAAACCGAAACCTTTGGTTTGGATACACACACTCAACAATTAAGGGGTTTTTGTATTTCGGTTTTAACATATACATTCTTTGTTAATGTTGTTTATTTTATCCACGTCACTACCAATTACTTAAATCAAACGCCAATAGCTGGACTTCGTAATATAGTTTAGATTTGCTACAAAACAATAGTTTCTGAAGTATCCCAACACCTGCAAAGTGCAGATTAACATTATTATTTATTGTTTTGATATCGTATAAGTGTTGCCCAGAAGAAACAGGATAATTTGACAGAACATTCTAAAACCTTTGCTAAAAGATCACACGGATTTTGAGGAGGATGAGTTTTATTGTATGTTTGCTAATGTCTTTCATATGATCTTTCCCACAGAATGCTGGCCACCAGAGCCCTTCGCCTTCTTGGCAAACGTGCCATTTCCACATCCGTATGTGTGCGTGGAGGACATGGTAAGTGTCACATGAAATTACCTGAACTATTTTTGGAGCAATGACATTAGATCAGGTTTGTTCCCTATGTCATTTTCTTTTAATGACTTGGACCTCCATGAATACATTTGAATAACAATGCAGAAAAGCATGTTTTTCTAAAGAACAAAATGTAAGCAGTGACCTCAAGGGCCAGAACGTTTTTTTATTTCTGTGTGCAAATCATAGTCGTTTTTTGAACAACAAGAACGCAATTTCACCCACAACACAATATCAATCCTGTAATGCGGTTCTGGCTGGTGAGCCTTTATCTATACTCTCATCTACTATCTGACACCATAGCTATGTACATCTGGCTGCACACTTAATTTAGATCAGACCTTGTAAACATATTTTACAGCCACCATAAAAGTGTTTGCCTGAAGTGCTAGTAACTGCATAGTTTCTTGTACTGTCAGCTGGACGGGCAATTGTTCAAGTATTACAGATGTATATATACAGGAATTGATATATTATTTATTTTACATGTATCAATTAGATAATTGCATGTACCTTTTTTTTTTTTTTTTTTTTTTTTTTTTTTATAATATAAATCTACACTTTGCTTTCTGTAATTTGTGCGTTTAACAGCAGAGTCTTACAAAAAAGTTAAACAAACCATTGTAGTCTTTCATCAACACATTTCAGAAAAGGTTGGCAGGGTTTGAAGTCATTCAATGTTATGGAAACTTATTTGATGAGTCATTCTTTTTCATTTCCTTCAGGTGTGGCTAAGATAGAGGCCTACACTCTCCCTGCCTACTTTGACAGGCGGGAGAACCCCCTCCCAGATGTCTGCTATGTGCAGGACCTGAGTGCTGAGCAGGCATCCCTGAAGGAGAAGGAGCAGGGCGCCTGGGCTGCACTCTCCAACGAGGAGAAGGTTGCATGTAAGACTAAATTGCACTGCAACACTTGTCTTTTTTTAAGGAGCTGCTTCTTTCATTGCTATTGGTTAAACTGATTTTGTTATCAGCGAATACTATCAATGGTCAAGTCACTTTTTATTTATTACAATTGTCATCATCTAGGTTTTGTGTTTCTCAATGTTCAGTGTACCGCATCAGCTTCAAGCAGAGCTTTGCTGAGATGGGCGAGGGGACGGCAGAGTGGAAATCTGTGATTGGTGGGGTGCTCTTCGTAGTCGGCTTTACTGGCCTGATTGTGATGTGGCAGAGAAAGTATGGTACGTATGCCAACAATTGTAATGCAGTGATGTGTTTGCAAATTCAAGATTTTAAATAATGAATCCTCTGTTTTCCTAATGTCATCGATGAAAACAGAAAAGCAATTATGTTGTTTAATTGTATGTTCGTGCTATGCAATTAAGGTTAAGACTCTGCATTACTTGACACGTATGGTCTCTTTGCAGTGTATGGACCCGTCCCACACACTTTTGATCCCGAGTGGAAAGCAAAGGAGCTGCAAAGGATGTTGGACATGAGAATGAACCCAGTGGAGGGCTTAGCAGCCAAATGGGACTCAGAAAACAAGCAGTGGAAAAAGTAATAGACCAGAGGACCAAAACACATACTGGAAAATAATAGCATACCAACATAAAGATACAATAATACATTTATTTCTTTATCTATCAATTGTCCAATTTACCTCTGTCTGTTCGTTGTGGAAGACCTCTTCCTCTTAAGGTCGTTGTGTATTATAGAAGAAAGAATAAAAATGGTAAACTGATAAAACTTCTTATTTGTCTTCACTCTGTACCTCCTGTGTAAATGTTGCTTCTATATTAAATTGCTCTTTCATATAAAAATGGAATAGCAAAGGAATCTCCCCATTTTATTAGTTTGGTTGAGTTAAGCTCTTAATCGCTTTAAAAGGTTCTAGTGAGATGACAATCAGTTATGCTATGTGTCAGTCATTAGCTAAATTAAAAAGTAATTGACATTTGTCATTTTGAATAGTTCAAATTCCAGTGTGTCATAAACATTTTGTATTCTTATTGGTTACCCTCTGACTTCTGTCTTAAAAAAAATCAGGTAGGTGACACTGAACAGCCTTTCCCTCTGTAATGATCTTAAAACCTTGACAACACATTTTACCATGTAGTCACCTGAGGCTAGTGTTAAAATCAGGAGTGTTTATTAAGATCTTCAGTAGCATCAGGTTAATTTTGACCAAAAGCTACTGCTGACTCAATTTAAGTAGGATAGCATTTCTACTTTCTTGGTCCTACGACCATCATTATGGTAAGCGTTTATAAAATCAATCATAACGTGCTATTGTTATATCGATTAAGTGTAACCATGCATGAAAACAAATGTATTTGTTTCTGAAACCAAACCTACGCCCTTGGGTGGTGAACTTTTACATGCATGCAAAGAACCGTAGGTTAGAGACACCCTCATTACCTGTTGACGCTGTACAATTGGGTTACAATTTTTTTTTTTAGTGGCTATTGTCGAATGCTTTCATCAAACTGTGGAATAGTTTGTCATGTATATCATCATGCTCTCAAAACAAGAATATAGGTAGGTGTTAAGGAATTACACGTGGGATTCCGTGTTTGCCCATTTAAAGAATAAACTACGTCACCTCCATAATTTTCCCCAGTCGGTGTTACTAAATTGCTACGTCATAGGATGTATGTACTCCTCATGATCTGCACTTCTAAATCCCACACTGCTGAAGGTGAAACAGGCTGTGATGTCACTTACCGGATGAACCCGCAGCTGCAGTTGTTTCACGTCAAAACAATCCGGAAGACGGTACAGAATGACGGAACTATTGTTGGAGCTAAAACGAGGTTAAGGCTGTAATAAAAATACAAGGCTACTGTGTTAAACACGTTAGTGCTATTTAATAATGTTGTGGAATAAAAGACAAACGTAGCGGCGGAAGCGAAAGCTGTGCACTGTGTTATGAGTTGAAGTCAGTCAGTCAAGCTTCGCGTTTTGTCCATGTTAACATATCGCAGCAGATCTATATATTAAAGTGTTAGCTCATCGAAGACTGATTCGGAGTCAACATGGGAAATGGAATGAATAAGGTAGGCTTTGGATTTGTATAATGCATGTTTTAGTCATGGGCTTCTTAATGGTAAACTCAGCATCGCTGAGGAAAATGCGTGCCTACCTTTTCTGTAATTGTTCAAACTATTTAATAAATAACGTGACATTAGATAGAATGCATTCAGGATATTGGGTGCAGATAGATCGTTTTTTAAATGTTTCAATAATGTGTAAACAGCATTTACCAAGACTTCCTCTTGGCTAAAATCAGATTTGTTTCTAGATTTGTAATGCAATCATAAGATTGTGCTATAGCAGAGGCAAATGATTGTACTGTACACTCAGATTGTTGGTACATTAGTTTCTAGCTCCTCCTTCCAACCATCTGAAGTGCCCCAATGCAAGGCACTTATTAATCTATGCAGAGATGCTGCAACTGGGCCTGACCTCTGACCCTCTGACCATTCATATTGTGCTTATTTCAAATCAATAGATTCTTGCAACATTGTTCTTCTTAATTTCAGGTTGGCTTATGATTTACCCATTTTGATACGTTGACATAACAAATTACTTGTCAAATGATGATGAGAAGTCATGAAAAATGTAATTGATGCCTTGTGTTTTTGATAGTCAATAGAACGTGATAACTTTGTATCAATATCATATGTATTTCCATTTTTAATTGGCACCAAAGTGTGCAGGCTGAGTTAATCACACATTTTAGGGTATCCAGCCCTTTATTATCTTTAGACCCCTGGTGCTCCATGGTACTGCTACGTGGTACAGCAACACTCAGTGGCGGCTTGCCACTCATCACTTCGTCCAGATAATCATGCATCGTTGCTTCAGGCCTTGTATGGCTGTTCTTCCTGCTTCTTGGTCCTTAAGCCTTAAGCCTTAAATCCGATCTGGCTCAAGCTTGGGCAAGTTGAGTGAAGATTTTGAAGCTGGACTGTAAAAAATATCTAACCTGAATGCAACATGTCTCTGACTTTTGCTTCACAGGTTGTTGATGGACTCTACCTCGGGAATATAAGAGGTAAGACAAACATCAGGTAACTTTATTTGATGTTTGTAAATCTGATACATACACAGTGGGGTCGGAGGCTACTGTAGAGTATCGCAACACTTTTTTTACCAAACATATCTCTTTGCGCAGTATTCCTTAAAACAATATGGATCAAGATTTTTTTATTTGTCAATTTTTACTGGATAGTTTCAAATGTAAGTGCTCTGCCTACATACAGTTTAACACAAAGTTGTAACGATCAAAATTAGATTTTTTTTTGTCAGGAAGTTCTCCGGACAAACATAGATTTCAGATTAATTCAAATGTCTTGTTGACAAAAAAAAAAGTTGTTCCTTCACATAAAATAAGAATCATCAGTTATTAATAAGCATGTCCCTGGCCTGGAACAACCCCTTCCCAGCTAATGTGCCATTCACAGCTTGCTAACTTTAGCTGCTGTGATGGTGGCTTCCCATGATGGCATAAGCATAAAGACTAAAATTAGCTCAACTGACAGGAACAAGTGACCACAGGCCTCTCTGTACCGAACGTTTTTAAGCAGTAAACGGCCGACAGAGCTGCCTTTGCAATAGCTTACATGATGACATTGTTGTTATGTTTGGGTTGAAATTCACTGACATTACTATAGTGAAATATTTTCCTCAATCTTTTTGTCCCAGATGCAGAAAACAGAGAAAGTCTGGCTAAGAATGGAATCACCCACATCCTATCTGTATACAACAATGCTAAACCCGTGTTTGAGGTTAGTGGAAAATCCATGTTGGATGGTTCAAACTATTTGTACTTTCCCTGAACATTTTACAAGTATACATTGGTATGACTCTGCATGTAATAGTGTGATGTGTCCTGTCAACCAGCTGGGGGTGGTGATGAGTTATAGATGGAGTAAGAGAGTTATGTGCCTGAGAGTTCAAATGTGGGGTGCTGTGTGCATGTATATGACAAAAGGTATTCATCTTAGAAACTATATATAGAGTTTATATGAAGCCATTTTAATCTTGTGTAATTAGAAATGACTGAAAGTGTAGATGCTTAATTAAGGGAAGGTAAAGTCCACATTATTCAACGTTATGTGCTGAGACTGATACTACACATGTAATCTAATAATGTAACTAATGTAATCTAGTTTAAAATGTTTTCCAGACAAAGAGCACAAGTTCTAGGGCTTACATGAGACAGAATATGCAGGAGATCACCTGAAGAACCTACCTGTGAACATATTGGTGCATTTTTACATGTAACAGTTTTTCATGTATTTTTAACAGGACAAGACTTACCTTTGTATTCAAGCTGCTGATGCTTCCAACCAGAACCTGTGAGTAAACATTTGTATATACACACACACACACACACACACACACACACACACACACACACACACACACACACACACACACACACACACACACACACACACACACTCATATATACTACATATTTTAAAAGTCGTTAACTTTGTGAAGCGTTGATGAGTCATGAAGTATTATTTCAACACATTACCCTCCAGATTGTGGTCCCTGGGTGTGACAGCCTAATGCAAACCGTTTTAATATTATATGAAATCTTTTGACAGTTTGGAAAAAAAATGTAATTACATGATTCCTGTTCGTAGTTTAAAGACATTTACTATTGGAAATTGCCTTGTTTCGTTTCGTTTGTTGTTTGGCACAATTTAGAAATACACAATACACAAACATAACAGAAAACAAATAATATACAGTGCAGGAAGAGGCAAAAATCCACTGGGCCTATTTGAAGCCTCCACCTGAATAATATTAAAATACACAATTTCATAGGGAACACAACATTTATATATTAAAAATAATATGAATTCAATAGTGATGGAAAAATATGGGAACAATAAATAAACAACAACAATTAAATCACGATTACATGTGAAAAAGGGAAGGAAATGTGATTGTGGAAAGTGAATTAAGCGCAAATTTAGACAATACAGTAGAGGGAAAAGTGACCAGTTGATACAAATCCTTTATTCATCTCGTGACTTTTAGCTACTTTAAATAAAATAAACCCTTCACAATGAAGTTCCTTATGTACGGTTTCTAAAGAAACATGAGCACTACAATATGTTTTATTTTTGGTGTTTCTACGTCTGTGTGTTTCTGTGAGAGAGAGATATATAAAAGGAGAGGAGAGACAGGGAACTGTGCGTCCAATGGGCCATTATTAATCAGGAGGCAGACTTGGTGTTGAAAGAGCATGAGCTGTCCTGCAGCAGTGGCTAACACAATGCATTAGTCATTGCATTTCTGTTGATTTTGTTAAATTATTTTGACTTCATGCTTGAGATGGGCTGAAGGCACAAAGGCATCAATAAGGGGTTAAAGTTTGGGCGTCAATGAAAAAGAGAAGTCTCATTTTGTATTGCGATCCCAGTCAGTATTGGAGCTGGTGAGGGCTTGCTGTATGTTGTAATCATAGAATGGGTTGCACACATTTCCAATGGATAAAAATATTCCTGAGAAACTCCTTTTGTGTTGTGTATTGGAGGATGCACAAGGGACAATGTTGATGCAGGCTGAATTATTAACTTGCAAACCACATAGTAGACAGAGGTGGGACATATTGCTTAGTTTAATACAAGCTGAAATTGGTCCTTGGTGTCAAAGGCATTTAATATCCTGTATTAATACTCCTCAATTAAAAACTCTCAATTCAAATTTCCTGATTCAATTGCCAATCCATTATGATCAGAAAAAAAGAAGACTTTAAATAAGTGTGTCGTTTATACAGTATGTGAGTTAGCTTTAAGGTTGTTTTTTGTTTTTTTTACGGATTAGCAGATTTAACCCTGTTGGGTCTGAGTTGGACAGTCATTGCGTTGTCCGGGTTTGAAGAGGAACTTGCTTTACTTTGTGAGAAATAAAACAGCGCTGGCTAAAATGCAACTTAATGAGAATTGAGGTTTGGTGTTTGGTTGGATGTTGCTGATTGGGCTGGGTTGGAGGTGTCTGACCTCCAGTGTCGCAATCAAGTGTCCTTCCCTCAGGCAGCAGAGGAAGGAAACCTTAGTGACATCTGGCTGTTGGCCTCGACCACCCAAGGCTTTAATAAACCCCCTCTGTCACAATCACTGGTCTGACTGATGGGGGGGGGGGAGAGGCCAACTGACGCACCGCCATGCTCACCACCAGCCAGGGAGCCTCTGTGGCCTGTCGCAGTTTGAAGCTGTCTGCAAAAACGTTAACTTCCTATAAGCTGTTGTGCCTACTTTTGAATAGATTTCAGGATTTCGATTCATATGTATATTCATGCATTACAGTTATTGTATCAATTGGCTGCATCACTTACCACAAGAAAGAAAAAAATGAAGAAGATAAATAAAATGACAGCCCTCCAAAGACCCTTTTCAGAACAAGGAAAATCTTACAAAACGTAATTTCAACCAAAGTCACAAACTTCGTCAGGGCCTCAAGAACATATATTTCTTTGATTTGCAAACATTCACTGGATGACGCGTGGCCTTAATAAAGGTTAAATGTCAGTAACTGCTAATTGCAACATAAAAGCCAACTTGGTGACCATTCCTGTCGATGTTATTGAGGTTAATGTTGAATTGAAACCCGGTGTGGGGATATAATAGCAGCGCCCTCTGAATTAATAAAAGTATTTAATTGAAAAGGCCTTTGATGTTGATTTATATAGTTGCTAACATGCACATGTAACCGTTTGTGAATGGCCAGGGATTCCCCTTCTTTGTGAACATCTCATGACCAACTACCATGGTTTCAATGAACAGGTGTGAACTCATTTGCATCAAGTATTTCCAAAAAGGAAATGTGCATTTGTGCGAGGAGTCTGCGTCTCCACTATGGTTTTTCTTTTTTCTTAATTTGTCTGCAATTATTTCCTATGCATATTGTGTTGTAATAATATCCAATTTCACCTAAGCAAAGAATTGCACAAACAATTTTTGCATTTCATATATACAACAGCTCAACAATTGTTTCTGTATTCTTCTCAAGATTGAACTCGTTAAAACCTAAAATCTTTGTCACAAGTTAATTTTCTGCATATTAAACAAGACGGCCGGAAACCTCTGTGCTAGGAAGACAGAACAAAATGCTGAGCAGACATGATTTTAGTTTGGATCTCGGAAAGGAGGAAAAAAGAAAAGTGGTAGTTAATCTATTTTAACCCCAGTCTGTTATTCTGTCTGCTATTGAGTAACCAGCATCTGCTCCTCAGGAGGCGCTGCTATCAGCCATGCACTTCTTGAAATGCAAAAGACCATCAGTGTTTCCTGACAGTGAACAAGTAGGATATCTGAGAAGCAGTTGCACCACATTGGGCTGCTTCGTGTCCATTTTTATTTCAACATAGACTCACATCTTGTTTGAAAAGCACCAAATTACGAGTGTTCTACCATATAACAGGACTTAAATTGCTATTTCATTGACTCACTTGATCATTCGCAGGGACAGAATGAATAAAGCTGGGACCTGATGTAAACTTGCAGATAGACAAAAACAGGGACAGTTACTTCCCTTGTCTGTCCCTACTGTCTGTGCTCTGGTCTACCACAGACTCTCAGTTTGAGCAGATCTAACCTCTGTCTCACATGACAAGCTGGAGTCGTTGAAATAAAAATCACCACTCCCTGTCATTCCATACGCGAAACGTAAGCTTAAAACAGCCCCATTCTGGGACTTCTCACTATATTTGAGATTTACCTGCAGTTTCTATCAAAATCAGAACAGTATCATGTCATCACAGTTTTCAGCAACATATCAACGCAGGGGGCCTCAACGCAGGAGTTTCAGTTCAAGGTGTCCTTTCTCATATCCTATACTGTGCAATCTATGTTTAGCTTTACAACCCTGCTCTACCTTAGCAAAACCAACCCAGTTCCCTGATTTAATGAGCAATAGTACTAAAGTTGTTTTTCATTCAAAATATCAGTTTCTCTTCTGTGTACTGCTAACGACAAACAGAATTGTTGCTATTTATCAGTTTTATAGTTTGTTTGCTTTTTATTTTCCAGATCACAGCATTTTAAAGAGTGCATCAACTTCATCCATGAATGTCGCCTGAGTGGTGGATCTTGTCTCGTTCACTGGTAGGTTTTTATTTTTAAAGTTGTAAAGACTTCAAGACACATCATGTCCACTAGTGATGCTGGCTTGTAGTATTTCTCAGAGGACATAACCAAAAACAATCCTAAGTAAAACAATTTAGTAGCTGTTCTGTTTTTAACCTATGACCAGTGGCAATACGGTTAGAAAAGCAGTTGCTTAGTGACTGTGACTGAGCCGTGTGCTCTGCTGCAGCCTCGCAGGTGTGTCCCGCAGCACGACCATGGTGGTGGCCTACCTGATGACTGTCACCCCCTTCAGCTGGGAGGAGTGTCTGTCTGCAGTGAAGGCGGTTCGATCCTTTGTCGGCCCGAACTGTGGCTTCCAGGAACAGCTGCAGCAGTACCAGACAACACAAGTCTCAGAGGTACACACACTGACATGATGAAGACACGTGCAAAACACAAAGACACCCAGCCCCTTTTACAGTTGGCAGTGATGAAGCCAGAGTGTGTTTTAGGTTGTATTTTTAGATAATCATGTTTACAAATTAATATAGTTTTCCATTTTCAAATATCATTGTGTTACGTGCTGTTGTTAGAAACTCAAAACAACTTAGATATAGATTGGAAACCCATACATCCTTTGCACTCAAATGAATGCGGATGTTAACATATCAAGTGTTTACTGTTGCTCTCTTGTCATTGAACATGATGTACTTGACAGATCTATTGATTGTCTCGTTTGTGTTGATATATGTATTGTTTTATTTTATTTTTGTATATTCATGAGATTCTCAGCTACAGCCAGAGATTTAACAGCAGAACAGTGCATCAAATAAACAAATAATATAATATTCTCGTTTAAAGTGGCTCAAAAGTCACCCCCATTTTTGTTAATCTCTTTTTGTCAAGAGGTTTTGGAGGACTTCTTGCACTTTATAGTAAAACAGAGATTTGTGAATCTTACTTTCAACAAGGTTCATATAAATAATTGAATGGTGAAAAAAACTCATAATGTATTCTTAATATTAACATCAGAACGTGGAGCAAGCTGTTCTAATCCTCCTCGGTGTAAAGGGTTTTTGACCTTTACTGCAAACTGTGACTTCTCACCTGTATTATATTATGTGTTTAGTCCCTTTTGAAAGCCCACAATTTAAAGGGGATGTTTACAGTGGACTTATTCTATTTGATGGGTGAGGCATTTAGCCCCATTTCTACTTTCACTGTGAAGATAAAAGCTACTTATAGTAAATAATTAAAACTTTCTGGTTTGGAGCACTTTTTTTTTCAGATAGAGGAAATTTGGAACAATGCCTTAGGAATATGTGATAGAGGCATTTTCTCTGTAGACTTATACCATTGGCAGTATGTGTTAAATATTAACACACTGTAGGTAGGTGTTCACAGCCTTTAACATTTTGCAGCATTTGAGTTGCTTGGAGGCACGTTGTGTGTAATTCCATTACAGTGGCACGGACCATTGGCTAGAGAAGGGGAACTGCAGGGGGTTTGCTTGGATTGCATTAGCTTGGTACTGCTCATCACGTGTCTAGTGTTACTGTCAGCATCTTGCAACACAACATGACTGAAAAATATATCATTGTTTATAGATCTTGCACTGATTTCGAGGATTTAAGAGGAAATGGGATTTTTGTATTTGTGTTTTTCCCACATATGCCTCACATAAAAATGAAGGAATCCTTAGGAATGTAGTAATCCGCTGTAAAAACATTCACTGCCACAGCATTGTACAGTATCCTGCAAATGTAATACAAATAAAAAAAGTTTGATATTGTAGTCCATCCTATACTGAAAAGTCCTGAATGGGGTATACAAATGCCAAATAAATAATTAAAGGTGACTTTAAGGCCAGAGTTACCCATTTCTAGACCTAAAGGAATGATAAAAAAAAGTGTATGCCTTGTGAGACTTCCCAGTTAACTACCCATCTCAAATCCACCTTTTGTCTAATTTTGAGGTTATGTCTCGAGCTCTAACAGAACAAATTCCACCTTTTGGGCGCGCTACCTGATTGTATCAAGGATTCAGATGTTGAAGACTTGAAAAAGACTTTGCAGTTGATAACAAACTCATTTTCATTTTCAAGATGACACAATTGAAGTTAGCGTTATATTGTGGCTGATATCAGTGTGCTTACTGATGCTAATCTTAATACTGTGCCTTTTAATGATTCATTTGTCAACATTTTAGATTCAGTGCTATACTGGTTGTGGTTTTTGAGTTGAAGAGAATACTACATCTATGGAGATGATTGTTTTACCCTCAGAGTGACTTTCACTTCATTGTATTTTGTAAATATTATGGTATTGCACAAATACAAATAATTTCCTAAAGATTATTTGTTAAATTTCAATTCCTATTTTATTTTTTAACCATTTGCTTTCAACCAGCATTGAAACTCTTTACTGTAAAAGAAGACTGCATCAATTAATACAAACTAAGTCTGACTTCTAGTGAAAATACATCTCAAATCATCTTTAACTGTACAAAATAATTATACTGCTAAAGTATCTTTTAAAAAATCCTCTCTGACTAAACCATCATGTCAGAAGTTGGAAGTGATCTTTGAACTTCTGATCAGACCAAGCGACCAATACACTTTTTGAACCCTTAAAACAAACTGAAAAGGCAAATGGCACTATACTCAGTTTCATGAAGGGAGTTTAATGAAATTGTTTTTGCTCTACGGTTGAAGTCATCTAATATGTTCCTGGCAAGATTAAGATTAAGCCAACATGAAAATGTAGTATATTGGGAGTAGTTCCGCATTTCAAATAAACGTTTTTTTGCCTTTCGTTCACTGTATTAAGGGCTTTTGGACAGAGTTCATGCTCACAAAACTGACAAGGTCTCTAAGTATAAACGATATACAACGGTGTTGCCTAATGTAATGTTACATGAATAACCAAAACTAGAGAAATACAGTTACTTTGATCTTGGTGTCTTTTTTTTAAGAAAACTGATTTAGAAATGAAAATCTGATCAGGTTAATTCAGTACTTATGAAAGAAAAGATATGAGACTTCAATGCAAAAATATGCCAGACATAAAGCAAAGAATATATACAATTTCAGATTGGACTCGCTGTTTGAAGACACTGTATGTCTGAATGAGGTACCTCTCGTCAAAGATCTCCTTGGATATTTTTGTTGTTTGTGTAGATTAAGGTGAGGAAGTAAGCTGAGGAGACAGAGTACATTTCTTGTGCCTGTCGAAGCCACTACAAATATGCATAAACTGTATTGTCAGCTCGGTATTTGTAAGATGTAATTTGATCTTAACACATGGACATTTACTCAGTTACTTCTTTGTCTTTGTCCTCTTGTCCCCAGTACCGATCGTGGTTGCACTCTAGTTTCGATCCCTGTCCTTTTAATGACCAGGATCAGGTGGGGGCCCTGCTGAGTCAGTACACGGAGCAACAGGAGAGCCAGCGCAGAAGAGCAGACCGCCGCAGGATAAATCAAGGTGTCTCTGCTCTACCGTCCAACCCTGAGGATCCACAAGGCAGCAGCTGAGAAACGGGCGTCTGATCATGCTGAAGCCAGCTAATGCTGCCTGTAAATGGCAGTAGTTATTATTCTGTACTCAATTCCAAATCAACCATCTCCTCAAATCTGAAAACATAGGTTACAAATAAATAATACCCCTTAAAGCTAAGCATATCTTTCATATTTTATTTGCATCTGTTTCATATTTTTTTATAAATGGAGGTTGATTTAGAATTGGGCTACAGACTCTAATCCACTACCAGAACCTCCCTTGCTCCCTTAACTGAGTACAGCCAAAACCAGAGTATTGATGCCTTACTCTTAACACTTCAGCACCTTAGCCATGATGAATGAAGTACACACCTGCAATGTTCAGCTCAGAAGCCTTAAAGAAGTGTCTGATTATTGCAGTCTTAAAGGAACATTTTGTCTTCAATAATGCGGATGTCTAGACTGCGTGTTGGACAATGAAATCCACAAATCTACAACCAATTTGTGAATTTCTTTGTGCACAATATTTTGAGGAGTTATTAAGATTAATACCACTTTGCAGTTAAGGCTCACTCTTTGATCAACACTGAAGTTAGGGATGTTACTTGGTGGGTTCGACTGCCTGTCAAATATGTGAACACCATTTACATTGCTTATACTAGTAAAATACAGTCACAATGTCTTACAAATACACTTGCCACTTAAAAATGTTGTGACAACAATAAATATATACCTGTAGCATATCACTGCCTGTGTAGAACACAGTTGAATACTCTTCAACTCATTCCGACTGTAATACTTTTTGAATAAAAGGTCAAGCTACCTACTGAACCAATGTCTGCAACAGAATCCAGCAGCAACAGTGGAAACTAATGATACAAATGCTAGCAAGGGAGGAAAAGCTTTGAGTTGGCTGTCATTACCCAGCCAACAAACCTGTCGCTGAGTTTTATCTTATCAGGGAGGACAAAAGAGAACAAGTACAATAGCCAAAGCCTCTGTGGTTTGTCAACCATCTACTCATGTAAGATAAGCCACTGGCGGCATCTGTTGATCCATTGAGTAACATGTGAAGCAACGTAAACGATTGGTCAAATGTTCCTTTAATACATAGCAGGTTGATTTGGAAGCTACATAAAGTATTTCTGAATAAAACTTCAACTACATCTCTGCAGTCCAAATGATAACATCTTCCTGATTTGACTGAAGCTCTGATTTATCTTTTCATTGTGACCAAGCTGATTTATACGTCATTTGTGTTACAGATTCATGGTTACAGTTAATTGTTTTAATTGTATATTTATGAAGTTTTTGTTTATGTTTTATAATAAAAAGCAGTGACTTGACAAAAACGATGGAAATACAAATAAATCTATAATATCAACACTATGACGTGTCCTTATGTGATTTAAAGAAATCCTGGGCAGATAATTAAGATGTTAGTATTGTTAGCTCACCTTTACATTAGCTGCTTGTATCATGAAGCTGCTTGACTACCACACCATAAAACCAATAAAAGCTTTTCTGTTATTTCGGTTTGCGTTTAAGATTTGGCCGGTTTCTGGGATTTACTCAGCAGATCATCTGCTAAAGCTTTCTTCAGCACAAGACACTGAATGTGCAGCTTCATGAAAATAAACAGTGTTTTACTCACTTGAAATTGTCATACAAATAATACAGGCTTACACACTTTTTTTAATTGTTAAAAGTTCATGGTATCAAACATGAGATATGAAAACAAACTACAATTATTTTTGGCATAACCATCAATAAGATATGTAATTAAAAATGTAATTAGACTTCACAGGAACAGAAAATATCAAACTATGCATGAACTTTAAACAGTATTTAATGAAGACATTGATTTCATTTATTACACATTTCAGGATTACTTGGGAATGTAATTTAAAGGTGTATATGGCTTTATATGGCTCAGTCAAACTACATTCATAATATTTACTAAAAGCCTACCAAAATCAATATCACAATATATATGTGTTCACACTTCAACATGTACTACTTATCTTTCTATCATAAGCTTGGTGTGCTTAGCTCGACAGCGGGCTCTTCTTCCTCCGCAGGCTGAGGAGGTTCAACATGGAACCTTCAACATGGACTCCAGGATACTCTGCAACTTCTACAGGTGCACCATAGAGAGTATCCTGACTGGCTGCATCACGGCCTGGTACGGCAGCTTCACCGCCCTCAATCGTAAGGCTTTGGTGGTGAAAACTGCACAGAACATCACCAGGACGGAGTTGCCATCCATGGAGGACCTTTACTCCCAGTGCCTCAGGAAGAAATCCCTCCGGATTATAAAAGACCCACATCACCCCAGCCACAAACTGTTCTGTCTGCTGCCATCTGGCAGGCGGTACCGCAGCATCTGGACTAAAACCACCAGACTCAGGGACAGTTTCATCCCACAGGCAATAAGACTGTTAAACACCTGAACTGTTGAAGCAAAATCTGTTAAACACCTGAGCAGTTGAAACAACATCCCTAATATTCTTCTGGCTGCTACTTACAAATTATTTATCTATTTACCTATATATCCTATTTCAATAACTTGCATATAGACTCTTATTGCACAATATCACTATTTCTATACTTGCACTATATTTTTCTGTTTATCTGTGATTTGTGTTGCTCTGTTGGAGAAGCCTGCGACACAAGATTTTCATCGGCATAACTACACTGTAGCTATGTTCGTATGACTAAATAAAGAACCTTGAACCTTAAGAGACACATCAATAGCCTACTACTGAAATCCATCAGAAATGCTTCTTCAAGATTTTCACTTTCTGAAGTACATCAACATGCTCTCATAACAATCTTCCATGGAATACAAACTCATCTGTTTCCTTGAAATGCATTTCCTCTGTGATATTTTGAATATTTCCTGTTGTAGAAGAATGATTGTGGTAAATATGATTTAGTAAGCAGTCTATGGTATGATCAGGCATGTTCACACAGGCTCTTCCCTGGCAGGACTTCCAAGTTCACGCAACCGAAAGCATAAATTCCGAGTAACAGTAAATAAAACAAAAATAAATGCTTCAAGGAAATGCAGCTGGTACGATCTGTTCCATGTGATGTTTTTATGAATTTATAAAGAATATTGTCAATACAACTAATATTATAATAGGCCTATACAATGAATGAGAGTCGTTTCCTGGTGTTTTTTTTAATCAAATAATGATAAGATAATAGAAATACTCTTTATCTTATCAGCAAGGCCATAGGTTAGGACAATAATTAACAATTATTTTCATTATCAATTAAAATGAGGGTAAATTGTCCTTAAACCTGAGCCGTTTTAAACTCCAAAAATATCAATTTATTTTATAAAAAAAAGAGAACCAGCAAATCTTATCTGACACGCTTAAACATAAACATGTTTGATTGAACATCCCAAAATACTATTGTATGTACAAAATGTTTAAAATGTATTTGGTCAATAGTTATCAATGTATCAACTACATCCGACCCAGGGGGATTTCACAGTGGTGCTATGAAAATATCCATTAAGAGTAAATGATTGTATGCTTTGTAAAGTTTGTATGCTTTATTGTAATTTTGAAGTTTGGCCATTAGCCTTTCCTTAGATAACCATGAAGATGATGATAGAATACATATAATGTGGCTTTATTACTAAGTCCACTATTGCTCCTCTGACCCAAAATAAAAAAATGTTATCCGCATTTAGTGTTTTCCTTCCAAGCCCACCGCCATCATATCCAGGAATGATGAAACAGGGATATGTCCCAGGGCCAGGGGACATGGCGCACTAACTTTTTCACCCACTATCATACAGATGGATGGGTATAGTGGGCTACTGTGTAATACCTGCACAGGAACCTTTTCAGGTTTCTCTTCAGTACCCTACTGAGTGGGCGCTGGAGGGACGCATTACTTTGGTCTGGATCGCAGAAATCCCCCACAGCACTTAAGGTAACTTGTGACTCTCCCGGTTTATTCAGCGCCCCGCGTCGCTGTAACATTTTAGCGTGGGCAGCGACTTTACAACCATGGCTTGTGTCAGGCCATTTCTTGTAAATGCCCGCAGTTAGGAGAAAAAGACTTCCGGAATGGGCTGGCCTACTGAAGCTTCAACGCACTCATTGGTCGGAGTGAGTCAGCGTCACATCATCTCCCAGCTATTTCATTCATAACACCGAGCACAATAATACCTTTTACAGACAGACGTCCATCACCATCTCAGGATATAACACACAGGGCTGACAGCTCATCAAACTGTAAGTGCTTTTTTTACTTTTGATTTCAAAGGGTCAACGTTTTAATTTGCTTAACGATGTGTATATTAAACTAAAATAAGACTTTGTAAATAGTTATATTTGTTTACTAACTTTCATGAACATGTCCTCCTCGTTGAAGGGAACTCTCCAGAACATCCTTTCTCCAGCATGATGTCAAACACAGGAGGTCGCAGACTGAAGCAGTGGCTGGTGGAGCAGATCCAGAGCGGGCAATACTCGGGACTGCTGTGGGAGGATGAGAGCCACACTATGTTCCGAATTCCATGGAAACACGCAGGGAAACAGGACTACAACCAAGAAGTAGACGCATCCATTTTCAAGGTATGACTCCACTCTCATGTAGACATAGACAGATAACTGCAGATGGATTTTTGGTTTTACGCACAAGGCTGCGCGTAAAATCAAAACTTCATAATACATCTTGATTGATCTTTCTAGACTTCTTCAAGTCGATTTATTTATGACAGAATTAAAGTATTATTTATACTTTCACATTTCATTGTACACGCATCTTTTTTTAAACATAACATTACTAAACTTTCATTTTTTTTAATTAATTTCACATTATTATTAACAAAGCCAAAACACTCATATTTAAAATCTTACATTTCTAATAAATACCTTTTATCATTATTTTAAACTACATTGTCTTTCTTGCTTTCTTTCTGTTTCTGTTACTTTCACTAAAGTATTCAACTTACTAAAACAACCTACACAAATGAGTAATATTTATTTTGTCCCTCTACAGGCCTGGGCTGTGTTTAAAGGCAAGTTTAAGGAGGGGGAAAAGGCTGAGCCCGCAACATGGAAGACCAGACTCCGCTGTGCTCTGAATAAAAGCCCTGACTTTGAGGAGGTGGCAGAAAGATCACAGCTGGATATCTCTGAGCCCTATAAAGTCTACCGCATTGTGCCCGAGGAAGAGCAGAAGAGTGAGTTTGTGAACAATTGATGTCCTTAAAGCCAGTTTCGATTACTTTTAACTGACATTTGCCTTAAGGCTATCATTAGAACTGCTTTTGCAATGTTGCAGGGTAAAGTTCCTGGTATTCTCCTGCAATAATTATGAATCATGAAAAGAATTGCCATTTTTGTACAACAAATAGAGTCTTAATGTATTCTTCTTTCACCAGATGGCAAAAGCTCAGTGATGACCATGGTAGGGACCACCAGCTCTGGTGATATCACCGACATGGACTGCAGCCCTGCAGCGATAGAGGAGCTCATTAAAGAGGTATAGGACTACCTATCTGATTAAACCATATATTAAACCATATTCCTTATCTCTCTCTTGCGCCTCTAACATCGGTTGCTAGATTAACTTCACCTTTATTGACGCTCAACTTTGGTGTCACTTTCTTTTCTGTTTGCCCCACTGTGACCTGAACTTGGTCTACGTGACTATGAAGTGTACAAAGGTGCTTTGCTGTTAGCGGCTTATAACATTGTTGTCTTTTTTTACAGGAGGAAAGCCAGGCCAGTAGTATCCAGGCCAGTCCAGAATATTGGTCCCAAGGCAGCATCAATGGTAAATATTTTACAATTCAACACATAATCCTCTGACTAAATTAAGCTATTTTTTTTCAGTAAGTGCTGCAGTAATATAGGCTGCAGTGCACAGCCATATCTCTCACTTTTTTTTCCTGTCAAGTAAGACTCTTATGTCGTTAAACGCTATGCGCCTTAATGTCTTTGAAAATAACCACAGTGGAAAGCACAATGACATGCCCTGTGTTTGTGGGTGCTAAATAGAGGTTCTTTGCTTGTCTGTTAAACTCTGCAATGGAAGTATTGACTAACATCCTGTTGAACAGGCTGACTAAGAGCCTATTTGTTTTTGAGATCGTGCAAAAAAATGTTTTATTTCTGATGATGCAGCAAAATTA